CTTTTTTTTTTTGTTTTTTCATCTTCTTTAGTTAAAACTTTGGTGAGCTCAAACTCCATTTTGCTCTTTAAATCTAGCTTAGTCTCACATCTTGTTAAGAAAGTCTGGAACTCTTCTCTCTTCAATATTATAAATAGGGTGGTGCATTTCCTTCACAAAATCCTGGTAAAAGACATGCATCATACTGTATAGATTTGGAAGAGGAAAGTCAAGAAATATCTGTCTCAGTTTGGACCATCATCCTCTATGTGATCTTGATCTCAGGGCTGTTCCATTTGTAACTAGGCCTGGTGGATTGATCAAGGAGGGAGGCAAGCACGAGCTCATCATTGGCGAGGATGATGAGCTGCTCAACACTAGCACCAAGAGCATTCTGTGTGGCCGAGGTACTCAGGCGAGAGAGTAGTTTTACTTATTGCTTTCTTCCAATCTTCTAACAAGGAAGCCAAGAACAAAGGATTTGATCTTGCTTCCAAGCCCGAAGAAGGAGGCACGCCAACGTGCTTGTTCTCTGGGGTGGGTGACAGCCACCTTCTGAGAGGTTCATATTCTTCTAAATCATCAGTGATTCCACTGCAACGAAGTAATGAAAGAATGATAAGTTTCAGTCAGGAACCTAATGATCTACGATGGTTGCTGGCTATAAATGCTGGCCATGATCGAGCAAGCTCCAGCCACGCGAATCAAACACCACCTTCCCGTCAGCTGCATCCTTCGCACGCCCCGAGCAAAGTCATCCAAGTCACAGCATCCGCCTCGCTAGGCATCGCCCTCGCCATCTCTAGCGCACCTCGTACATCATCGGCCCTCTCAAGAACATCGACAATGCAGTGGTAGTGCTCTGATCCCATACTTGGTGCGCATTGCCGCGAAGAAGAGCTTGGCCTCCTCGAGCCTACCGGCATGGTTGCAAGCCGTGAGGATGGAGAGGAGCGTGGCTGAGCTCGGCTCTATCCCTCCAGCCTAGAGCTCGAGCACCCGAGTAGCGTCCTGCTGTAGCGGCCATCAGCGATGTCCAGGTGATAGTCGAGTTGCTTCCGGAGAAACTTGCTGGGCATCGGCAAGACACTTCGCGTAGAAATCCACGCTAGAACCGAGTCGGGCTTCTCGAGTAGACCGAGCCGGCAAACTCTGGCGTGGAAAGCTTTGCCGGTGGAGAGAGCCACAACACCACCGCAGGCCTTGAATGCGCACGCAAAGCTCCGGGAGTTTGGCCGACCGAGCTGGTTTCGCTGTAGCTCTAGCTCCATCTCTGGAAACAACTCTAGCACCAGCTCTGGATCCCCGTTCTGTACGTAGTCGAGCAGCAGCGCGTTCCAGAGAGCCAAGGACGTGCGCTGGAGCTTGTCAATCGCGTCGAAAACTCTATGGGCATCCACCATGTTTCCACAGTTGGCATAGACACCAGCGACGTCGCGACGAAGATGTTGGCGCCGTGGCTCCCTGCGTCAGCTTGAGTGTGTAGAGCCATTGCTTTCTAAACAGTAGCCTCGTCTAGATCTCGCCGCTAGAGCAGTGCAAGCTTTCAGTGCCGCGACGAAAGCTTGCGCGTTTGCCTTCTCTCGTTGCATGTCCTGGAAGAACTCTAGTGCTAGTTCTGGCTCGCCGTTCTCGGCATAGCCGAGTACCAGAGACGTCTACGAGACGACGTCGTTGCGAGAAATCGCCTGGAACATCCTGTGCGCATCGGCCATACTCGCGAAGCTCGAGTACATGTCGATCAAGCTGCTTCCTACGAAAACGTTGGAGTCGCAGCCACTGTTCGAGCGTGAAGAGCCATCCCGGTCTCTAGAGCAAGAGTTATTTGCCGTGGAAGACGAGTGGAAGCCTTCACTGCTGCTACAAAGGTGTGAGAATCTGGCAAAGCTTGCTCTTCCCGGAAGTTCTCAGCGTAGCTCTGGATCATCGCGTTCCAGGACACCAAGTCCGGGTTCTCGAAGACGCTTCTAGCATCTAGCTCCATCAACTTTCCTGGATCCATTTCCACCGCATGGCATCCGGAAGAAATCCCCGGGCTCGCAGATTCCAGGCACTCCAAGGCCTCGCCATTTCCCACGAGCGCGTGGATTCCTGGACGATTTGAGAGCGGCGATCCATGATCTCACCTTGTGCCGTTGAGGATCTGCGGCAGCGGCGTGGACGAGCGCCAGAAATCTCCAGGGCAGGGTGCCTCTCCCGGCACGGCCAAGGGCCCCATTGCTCTAACCCCACATTTCTTAAACCCTAACCCTCTCTCCTTGCTCCCGCCGCTCCAGCGCTGCCTGTCCTCTTCGTCAAATCCACCAGGACGGTGCTCTTCCTCGAGGCCAACAAGAAGTTCGTGGACGCGCTCCTCAGCCTCCTCCTCCTCCTCCCCATGGGCAGAGTCGTGAATCCGCGGCGCCGCTGGCATGCACGACAACGAGCTGGGCGCCATCGCCAATCTCCACGGCAGCGTCATCGACAGGCTCGAGCTCCTGTCGGTGGCCAAGGAGGCTCTCAGCCAATTCCGCAGCGCCTATGGCTTCCCGGGAGCGATGCTAGCCATCCGGCATAGCAGCGAGATGCCCACCTTCCTCCCCAAGGTCTACAAGTGCTCGAGCTCGACCTCCACCGTCAAGAGCATCATGCTGCTCGTCAAGAACAGGGGGATCTGGGCAGCATCGAGATCACGGTCACTCGCGATCTGGCAAGTCTTTCTCTCAGTCATTGTTTGATGAATCGTTTGATTTAACCTTGTGTCCTGTAGATGGTGAAGATATTGAGAAGATCTATGGTGTCAAAGACGGTTCTCAACGACGTCTTCAAGGCCGACCTGCCTGCTTGATTAACTCGGTTTGGTTTTAAAAGGTGGTTATAAAATTAGCACTAATCATACTAATTAAAGAGCTGGTAGAAAAGGCCTTACAATTTTTTCGATCGTTGTGTTGCGATGGATCTCCCGGTAAGGCTGCTCTACAAGAAGCCCACCAAAGCGATTCTCTTCCTAGAAGCTAACATGGAGTTTGTGGACCATCTCTTCGGCTTCCTTTTGGTGCCAATCGGCCGGATGCTCAAGCTCACGGGTTCCAGCAATCTGGGAGCTATTGCAAATGTCTACTCGAGCGTCGAGAAGTTCCAGTCCGGCAACATGGTGGTGGCTAAAGAGCTGCTCACGAATCCACAAATTCCACCGACTTATCGTATAGCTACTGACCATTCCGGCTATCGTCATTCACAAACACCGCGTTATTATGTGAAGGATGATTCGGCACAAGCTACTTTCGTGAAGGGAGGTGTCGAGTACATCGTAACCAATGATCTCGAGATCTTTCCAGCGCCAGCGTCGACTACCAAGACCCTTGAGCTGCTCCGCAAAATGAAACTTGAGAACATCCGCGACCTTGGCATTGCGGAGATTGCCGTCACTCCGGCTCGCGTACTTACTTTTCCATCGTAGATGTGGAATGAGCTTGAGTTTGTGCCTTTGCTGTAGGTGCAGGAGCTGCTGAGACGATCACTGGTTTCGAACACTGTTCTCACGGATATCTTCCTGGGCGATCTCAAGGATGCCTCGTCGGGTGAGAGCTTGTGATCACTTTCTTTTTGTTTTTTCATCCTCCTCTAGTTAGAACTTTGGTGAGCCAGATCTTTCGGTCGCAGGCTCGGCTGCACCAGTGGTACCTTGCAAGGTCACTCATGAAGAAAAAGAAGGACCAAAGAAGTGGAAATGAACCGTGCGGCTCAAACCTAAGGAAGTAAGTAGTAGTTACCTCCGATTCATATTTGAGCTAAATGAATCGAGATGTTTGGTACCAACGGCATTCTTTTCTCTATCAAAGTTTCTACCAAATAAAAACGCCTTACCACCGCATGGTACTCCCCCAGTAGCATCCAGCCCACCAGATGAGCCATGCAGCCCAGCAAGCTCCTCCTCGAGCTGTCCCAGCCGCCCCAGGCTGTTCTCTTTTGACAACATATTGAATTGCTATTAATCTTACCAAACGTTGCAGTCGAGGATGGTTCTTTTCAGTTAAAAAGAGAATGTTCTAACTTTGAATAGTATGACATCCCATTAGACACAAACAGATGTATTTTTGAAACTAAATAGCAAGGCCTGAAATGTTGCAAAAGAACTGGGATAATGAAACCTAGGTATAGAACTCTTCCAATTCTAGATTTAGTCCAGGAAAACCATACCTCAGAAATGTATCTAAAACCTGAAATTACATATCAAGTGCAAATTTCTTGCAGTTCAACAGTCATCTCAAGTCGTGCTACCTCAAGTCAAAAGGCAAGTTGTGGCAAGAAATTGGAGAAGTGACAATAGATTGCGACACAGATGGTAAGCACAAAATCTTTGTTTTTCCTGTTTGCCTCAGTTCCTAAGTGCCTTCAATGCTGCCAAAAGTATATCAGTCACCAAAATGAAGCAGTTTAAACATGTTTATAATTTATAAATTTTCCTAAACGCTTTCTAGTATTCAGGCTCACATGGGATCCAGACACCGGCTGGCGCAAGCTGCCTTTAGCTCCAAGCTGGGGACATTGAGATTAGGCTTCAAATCCACCATCTTCTCCAATTCAAAGCGTCTCCCTTTCTCAACCCACTCCCAACACGAAGGTTTCAGAATCAAATTTCACAGACAGAGCAACAAATGTATCTTTCCCATGCGTCCGGCATTCCATGGTCCCAATAATACCTGGTTCCATTTCTTGAGGTAACGTTGACACAGTCTTCCATATCCAATCACCACCACCTTGCTGCCTATCCAGAACCACGACTGGTGCAGGATCCGTCATCAGGTGAAGCATTCCAATCTCACCTCCAATTTCCAGCATATACACAAACTCGCCACCCCACTCCCCACTGTGAGGCCCCTTGCAGATAAGAGTGGCTCTGAGCCATCTGGCGCAAACCAAGATCGCAAAGCAGGAGATACTGGCTGTAGAAAGAACCTGTTTTTGTTGCTGTTGTCATAACAGGCTTGTATTTCGAGTTCTAGACACTGTTTGTCATAATGTCCTGTGTGCACAGGCTTGTATTTCGAGTTTTAGACACTGTTTATTATAATGTCCTATGTGCCAGAGAAAGAAGCTTATGTTGTCCTTGGCCCGTAGTGCTCTGAAATGTGGATCATATAGAAGGCTAGCACACAAAACACAACAGCGTTACATCCTCAGCCGGTACCCGAGATAATATATGCTTTTCAAGTTCTCATCCAATACGAAAGTGGCATAAAAAATAAGCGGATTAATAAGCAATGCATCATCCTGAAACTGCAGCTGCATATTTCAAGCGACGAGCACGTACGAATCTGGACGCAGCAGGGTGATGACGCGTGAATTATCACCACAGCCAGCAACTTTGCACGAGGAAGAGCTTCCAGTTCTCAGGGTCGTGTGAAACTCCAGCGATGGGTGATTTAGACCAGCCCCCAGTGAACTAAAAACACGCCTTTTCAGATGTCGTTAGAGGTACAACACACATTTGAGAGCAGTCACTAGCTCACGGCTGCTGCTCGCCTGTTTCTCCCGTAGGACAGGACCATGAGGAAGTCCTTGCCCAGCGCGCTTGCGCGGTCTTCCGGGGTGCTCGAGAGTTGGTCTTTGGTGAGCCAGATCTTTCGAACGCTCTCCAAGGGCAGGCTTGAGACTACTGGCTGTCCCTTGCAGGTTATCTCCACCTATAAGGGAAAAAAAAAAATGAAATGAAACTGTGCAGCTCAAAAACGTAAACAGTGGCTGTACCTCGGATTCGCTCTTTAAATCCAGCTTCCTGACCAAGTACTTCTTCACGAAGGAGACTGGAACTTTTCCATCCCTGCAACATAAAAACTTGTTAATACCGTCGATCAGAGATGAGACTGACGAGGAATGCTGGTACTTGATTCTCAAGTAAGGCGATTTGATCTGTGGAAGGCCCTCCTCGCCTCTGTAAATCCCAGAGCTCCAAGTCAGAAACGAGGACAGAAAATAAAGAGAGTGACTCACTGGTTAGTTGTTGTCAAAGTGAACCAAAGCCCGTTGCTTTGAGTCGATGGCGAAGGCAACGTCTGGCACTTGAAACCACCACCACCATTCGCAGCAGCCTTGGCCTGTGACGACCGTCGGACATTCTTCGTAGCTCTCAGTGACGAGGCTTCTCTGCCTCTAGCCTCCTTCATGAGCCCCGAGCTGGCCCTGCCCTTCTCGTCGGCATGCGCTAGCTCTGCAAGGCAGGCTAGCGGAGATAAGAAGCTACCCCCAGACTGCTTTGCTTCGGCGTTTCCCACGGAGTTGCCACGAGTAGCCCTTTGCCTTTTCGAACCGCTTCTCATGGGTGACTTGGTATCCGAGTCGAGCGTCTCGGAGCAGTACATGGTGTCCTCCGGAGACTCATCAGCTGCGTCGCTGCTGTTGTCGTCATCGTCCTCCTCTTCCTCGTAGCTCTCGCTCGATTCCGTCACCCAAGCTTTCCTTCTCGACTTGCGTCTCGAAGACGACGGCACTGAAGTCACCCCGAGTGAGGACAGCGACCGTTCTTTTCTGCGAGCGGGCGTGTGCGAGGGTGGCGACGCAGCAACGGGAGCAGCGGGGCGCTTCTTCGGATTGAGATTAAAAATCTTTGCTTGCACATCATCCAGCTGAGGATCGGCCCTGCAAAGATATTAAACTGAGAAGAAATGTATCCAAGGTCCAAACTTCTTACCTGAGCTTCTCCAGTGGCACTGTTCCTAGATCAACATTGCACATTGGACAAGAGTTGGTCTCTTCGTCACTGAATCGATCGTGGATACAATCCTTGCAAACTACGATAGAAGAACACAAAAAAAGAGGAAACGAGAAAACAATTAGAAGTACTATCCAAGCCGAATACAAAACTTACAGGTATGGAGACACTCGGAGATGGTCGTGGCCTCGCGGAAGAGATTGCCGCAGAGAGGGCACGTCAAGCATGCAACAATAGGAGCTTTGGAAACTCTAGCCATTGTCTCACACGGTTCCTTGCTACTGTAAGGCATCTCGCGTTGGAAGAAGACTCCTCATACGATCACCTACAAAGCAAAGGAAGAAAGAAAGAAATCTTAGAACACTCCCCAATGCTAGGGTTAGAGCAAGGAGACACACGAGTGCCACTCCCAAGAGAGAAATCTTCCAATCTCCCTCCCGGGAGCGCTCTTGGAGACGCTAGAAGCACAGATCGAAGCCGAATCCCAGGGCGGAGGACTCACCGCATTGCTCCAGTGATCGCTCGCCGCGAGCCCCATTCCCTGTCCATCGCATCGAAGAATCCACACGCTGGCTCCACGATCATGGCGCTCTAAAAAGGAAGAGAGAAATAGGGTTACTGTGATAAATAGAAGGACGAGGGTATATTCTCGCGTAGGGCGTAAGTAGGGTTTTTGGAGGGAGAGGGGGGATGAGCTCGGCTATGGAGGCGTGCCTCGTCGACAGCATCAATGCGTCCTTGAAGCTCTACATGTATCGCAATGCCACATTCCTCTGCGAGCGCCTCTACGCGGAGAGCGCTACCGAGGTGAGAAATCGAGAAATCTCTCCAGCATCGATTTCATCCATTTCTTCTGTTCTTGCAGGCAAATCTTCACCTTCTCGCGACCTGTTATTTTCGGAGCAATCAAGCGTACCGCACATATTACCTCCTTAAAGGTTCGTTTTTGCCTTTTTCTCTCTTTAGAAGAGAAAAATGTAGTTCTTTGCTATGGTTCATTCACTGGCTTTTCTGATTTCTTCGTAGTTCTAGGGCGTAGTTCTTGGTTCTTCTTTTGCTTGTTGAAATCTTTCATTGTGCCGTGGTGTTGTTCTTCCTTTCAGGCATTAAATCGCCACAGTGTCGGTATCTATTTGCACTGGCCTGCTTTGAAATGGGTAACATGGCTGAAGCTGAAGCTGCGCTACAACCCAGTGATTCTCCATCCGAGGTACAGGAGCCACATTTTCTCTCATGCGTAATTTTTTCTTGGTGGTTTTGCCAAGGTTCCAAATGGAGCAGCCGGTTGCTATCTGCTAGGACTTATCTGTCGGTTTACGGACCGCAGACAAGCTGCTATTGCGCACTACACGCAGGCGCTGTCTGTGGATCCATTCTTTTGGTCAGCTTACGAAGATTTGTGTCTGCTAGGTACTTTTGAGCCGTCTGAGTTGAGCTGGTTGTTTTCAACGTTTTATTTTCCAGGTGTTGAGGAAGATCCACTATCACAATCTCAGTGGGAAGTCAAGTCTCAGTATACATACAACACGCCTTCTCCAAGCGTTTCTCAGGTTTGGCACCTTAAGTTTTGATATCGACTTTATTTTTCATTTTTGAATCGGTTTTCCAGTTAGTGACTACAAAGAGTACTGTTGCTCCCGTTCATCCTCAGAGACGAAAGTTCCTCGACGAGGGAAAGCTTCGAAAGGTGGTTCTTTTGGTTTCCATTTTATGGTCTGTTTTTATTCATTTGCTTTCAAAGTAGGTGTCCGGTAGATTATTCACTGAGCCTCCCAGGCGGAGTTTGAGGCTTTCTGCCGAGTCTCCATCCACAATCAATGTTTGCTCAATTCCAAGTCCTGTAGCCGTGTCAACACCTACGTCAACTGCGAGCGTCCGGGTATCCAGCAATAGCTCCGTCCGTGTTTCTAATTCGCGTAAGATTATTTCCGGAAGTGCCGAAGGTCCTCTTGATGATGGTAAGTGTTATGTTGCGCATGGACACTAACCGAGCATAATGTATTTACAGGCCGAAGGGTTTACGAAAGCTTAGAAACTCTTGGAAGCGATGAAATGTCAAATACCAGCAGCCAGCAGTCTTCTCCTGTGATAGATGAGGAACTTCGGCGCAGTGTCTCCGTTGGCTTTGTGTCCCGGGGCTCGAAGCTTGGGGAGGGTGCTACAGAACTCTTGGCTCTTCTAAAAGTTCTTGGTGAAGGCTTCAAGCATGTTTGTATGTACGAAAGTCAGGTATTGAACTTTATTCTTTCGCTTTTACATTTGAAAGAGCTTTGGTTGCAGGAAGCACTAGAAGCTTTTGCGAAGCTCCCACAAAATCAGTATGAGACTGGATGGGTTTTATGCCAAGTGAGTCTTTCGGTTTTCCAACTGTGTTCAAGTATTCATTGCTACATACAGATCGGAAGAGCATACTTTGAGATGGTGGATTACGCAGAAGCCGAGCGTGCTTTCAGTTGGGCTCGGAGAGTGTCACCCTACAGGCTTGAAGGAACTGACATCTACTCAACCGTGCTCTATGTGAGTTGTATCTCGTTCATTTCTTGCAAAAGTCGATTAATAAGACCATACAGGTCTGTTTTATTACTCCCAGCACATGAAGAAGGACGTGGAACTGAGCTATCTCGCGCAGGAAGTGGTATCAATGGACAGATTGTCTCCACAAGCATGGTAAACTCTAGTGTTCTACCTTATTTTGGTGAACTAAAATCATATTGTGCAGGTGTGTGATTGGAAACTGCTTTAGTTTGCAGAAAGACCACGAAACGGCACTAAAGTTTTTCCAGCGGGCCTTACAACTCGATTCTCACTTCACATACGCGTACACTCTATGTGGACACGAGTAAGTTGAATTGATTGTTTTGTCAAGCTCCGATTTGATTGTATGTTTCTTGTAGATATGTTGCAATGGAGGACTTCGAAGAAGGCCTTACTTGCTATAGAAACGCGATACGTATGGATGGACGGCACTACAACGCGTGGTAAGCTTTTTCATCTGATATTCTGTTTCCTTAACTTCTTCATATAAAGGTATGGACTTGGTACAATCTATCTACGCCAGGAAAAATATGAGTTGGCTGAGTACCACTTTCGTCGTGCCTTGCAAATCAATGAACGCTCTTCAGTGCTCCACTGCTACCTGGGAATGGCGCTGCATGCTCTAAAGGTAACGATCTCATATCGACAAGAATACTCATAATCCAATTGTATCGCAGAGGAGCCACGAGGCTTTGGAACTGCTTGGCGAAGCGATACGGGCTGATCCCAAGAATCCTCTTCCAAAGTACCAGAAAGCGAACGTTCTAATGAGCGAGGAGAGATACAACGACGCTCTCGGAGTCCTGGAGCAACTCAAAGAAGTCGCGCCTCGCGAGAGCAGCGTCTACTTCTTGATCGGGAAAGTCTACAAGCGGCTTGGACAGCCAGAGAGTGCCATGTATCACTTTTGTGTCGCGTTGGATCTCAAGCCATCCACTGCAGACGTGAATCTCATCAAGGTATGTAGAAATTTTTCCAATGATCTCAACATCTAACTGTGAAGTTTGCAGAATGCGATAGAGAAGCTTCATGTTCCAGACGAGTCAGAAGAAGAGAACTTGTAAAACTGACAGGCCTAACAATTAACGTCGCAAAAACAGTTGATAGTGGCCATCGATAGGCTACCTCATCACCGACTCTTTCACAAAGTGACGATCTCCGCAGCTGCCAAAGGCACCACAAAGCTTGTCACAGAGAGAAAACGACCAAACGCTTACCTGTACTCTATGTGAACGTTCAGAAAGCGTGGATTTTCCTTGCACTGCGACATTGTGAAAGTTCCCGAGATCAGATTGTCTTGCTGAAGTTCGACAGGCTCGTAGACGTAGAGGATTGTCTGCTCAAGAAAGTGTAGAACAGCGAGATGGAATTTAACGTGGAGCTTACACACCTGAGCCCAGTGTGTGGGAGGATCCTCCGGAGCCGTCGAGAGAACAAGTGGGATTGTCCCATTGCTCGCTGCTTTGCTTTTTGGCAGGGAAGAAGCATCACCACCAAAGGACACGTTAAACCAGAGAGCAAATCCATGTAGATGGGCTGCAAGATGTTAAAAATGATCAAAGAATTCTTGCATCTTTTTTGTTTCAAGGAATACCTCTCATGATAGAAGGCACACTGAAAGTTGTAGTTACTGTTTCCAGTTCTTCCAGAGTAACTGTGCTACAATCGATGCGCTTCACCTGAGTTACAGAATGTCAAGGACACTAAAAATCTTGTCTTATCACAATACCAGAATCGGGAATGAGATTACATTCTCGGCGGTGATCACTTCCACGCATGGTTCTTCGAAAGCACATTGCTTCGCAAGAGGCAAGATGGCAGACACTGGATAAACCACAAAAAGAGAAAAACACACGCGTGGTTAGACTTACAAAAACGAGAAATCAATATCTTACTGTCAAATCCGTAGACATTGCGCCAGAAATCGATGCTCTCGCCATATCTGTCGGGGTTAGTGATGGGAGCCATGTAAAGCTTAAAAAAAAAAAAACCAAGGAAAGAGTTAAATCCCTCGCAGCGAAATCTTTTGGGACTTACAGTGGCAAAAGAAGGAAGCATCAAGCCTCCGGGCTTCAGCCAGCGATCCCTCGCACACACGACGCTCGGCAACATAGTCTGCACGTTCGGAGAACGTTCTCGTCCTAAGTGCCGATTCAAAGAATTCCAGATAGTTACTTCACCGAGTCCTATGCACTCGATAAATCTACCTCGTATAGCAGCATATAGCCCATCCATTCGGAGATGATCACGTCAGCCTTCTCCTCGAGTTGGATCTCCTGGAAGGCGAGAAAAAACGTTAACGAAACATCACAGTAAATCGAAATCGATCGCAAGAGATCACTGACCTCCACTCTTCCTACTATCACTGTTATAACATCCGAGAAGCCATTAGCTTTCACAACCTCTCGAGCCTGTTTCCAAAGACACAATTCTCAGCACGAAAACACGGGAAGAACACAAAGAAGAAGTGTACCTGGACAGCGATATCACTCGCATCCACTGCATACACCTGTGGTGAAAGAAAAAGAAAGAAAAAAGGATGAGCGATCCGAAAGTAGCGGATTCTACCTTTCTCGCTCCAGCAGCAGCGCAGAAAATCGAGAGTATACCAGTTCCACACCCCACATCAATCACAACCTGGGAGAGAGAAGAGAACAGCTAAAATTCGAGCAAACAGAAAAAGAGCGAGCTCTACCTTGTCTTTGATCGCCTCCTGGTGCGCGAAAATGGCATCGCGATAGGCCTCGGTGCGAATGCGATCCTATCATACCACATTGAGCTCCCAAAACCCAAAACCCGAGAAGCTCTCACCTTGATCATCTCCTCGTGGATGCCGACGTGATTGTAGGAGTGGAAATACGCCGCATCCTGCTGCGCCGCCGAGAGGCGCACGGGAAAGATCTGCGTGCTCATTCTCCTGCTGCCCATCGCTCTCTCCTCCTCGCCTCTCTCGCCCTAGGGTTTATCACTGGGTAGAGAGAATGATATAACTCGGTGTTAAACAACAATCTCTATAAATTAGCCTAGTGGTAACTACTTAGTGCTAGCTAAGATTATGTTTGAGTAGCTCGGTGCTCATGGTTGGAACAGTGTCCCAGGTGTAGCGGCCGAGCTTTCCCACACGGTACAAACTTAGAAGCCTCCGCACGATTCGAAAGTCCGTGATGATCCTCCGGCTCGTCCGGACGCTCTCGTAGAATCCGTGCAGCGCTCGGAACTGATGATCCACGAGCCTTTGCATCTCGCCCTCGCGGCGAAGATCTCCCTCGAAGCTCAGCAGCTCCGTCGCGATTATCCCCTTCACTTGCACGAAGTTATCGTCGAGCCTTATCAGTTTCTGCGGGAAAAGATGTTTAGAGATCGAAGGAAATGGATGGATCTTCGCTTACTCTGTCGGTTTTCTTGGTCTTGTCTAGCGGGTCTTTCATGAATCTCTTGGCCTCGAATTCGGCTTTCCACACCGAGTGGACGCTGGAGCGCATGGAGTTGATCACCGCAAGGAGGAAGCGAGCAAGCTTTACCTCGCCCACGACCGAGTCTTGCATCGCTCCTGCGGGTGCAAATAGAGAAAAGATCAAATTTTTTCCATTGGTAAACTTTGGAAACTTGGATACCTGTGAGACAGAGCTTAAGCCCAGTTTCAGCGTCAAGAATGGTAGGATACATGACTGATGGAGTGTCCATTGCGTACATGGGAGGACGGTAGCATATCTGATAGCAAAAGTGGTGGCAACAGATGGGAAACGAAAAAAGAAAACACCAGACCTTGCAGTTGAAGAAGGACGTCGTTTGATATGGAGTGAGGCTAACCTTGCTCAGCGTTAGCTTCTCCAGCACTGGATCAAAAAGATAGAACACAAAGAATGAGAAGAGCCACGAGAACTTTGGGCTTACTTTGCACACGACGCCTTCCAATGCGGTGGAGGCCATTTACGAGCGTTGTCTTGCCAACGCTGGGAAGGCCGACGACCATCACAACTTTGGTAGAATCCGATGGAGAAGCTTCGAGCAATCGGGCTTTCAAGAGAGACATAAGCTAAGAGAAGAAAAACGAAAAATTCATGAGCCTGGAAGAGAAAGAATGGAGGAACTTACCGCTGATACGCAGTGCCTGCTATAGGAGTTCAAGAAGAAATAGTTCTCTCCTTTGAAGTAGTTCTTCCATTCCTGCCAAGAGGAAGATCAAAGAGAGAAGAAAGAAAAAGAGAATGTAGACTCACTGCTAGCTTTTCTTTGTCGGCGAGATCGATCTTGGTGAAGACGGTGATGTGGTGCTTCCATTTGAGGAAGCGCTGGAACTGGAGATTCGCGGACGTGAATGGGACCTGTGCGGCGGCATCGCAAAACCCTAGCTAAACCCCGGAGAGAAATGGCGACCCATACCCGTGCGTCGCGGACCTCGAGCAGCAGATGAACGCGCCGCGCCTCCTCCTTGAGCGCATCGAAGGTTCTCCTCCGATCGGGCACCAGCCAGCTCTTGGGCGCGATCTTCTGGGCGATCGTCTTGATCACTGGGGCGCTCAGCGCCATAGGGCGATAGTTTAAAAACCCATGAAAGAAATGAAACTTTATAGTATGAGTTAAAGAACGAAGAAGAGGAGATTTGCATCAATGCAGCTCTCGAGCAAAGGATATCCTTGCAGTTCTTGCTTCCAGCAGCAAATTCGAGGACAAAGAATGGCAGGACTTTGAGAAGAATGTAAGAACTTTGAGAGTTCTTACGTAGCAAAAACGGTTGAGAAGGAACCACGAACAGAAGAGAGTCGATCAAACCAATTACTTTTTTTTCTTCTTCGCAGCTGCTTCTTTCTGTGGATCCAAATTGCGCTCGCGTCAGTAATGACAAAAAAGAACTCACACAAATCACACCTTCTTGCGAGCGGCTTCTTCGGCCTTTTTCTTCTTGATGAAGTAGCGATATCTTCGCTGTATGATCCTCGCGCATCTGTTGAACTTGAAGTTTGCTCTCTGTGAAGCAAGAACGAGGAGAGAAAAATGTGATTTTCTATCAGCAAACAAAGCACTTACCGCATTGGCATCCTCCAAGCTTTGGCGTTCATTCTCCTGCAATCATCGAAGCTCGCGTTACAATAAAGGAAGAAAACAACCCGGTTATAGAAGCAGACCTCCCATGCACACTGGCGATAGTATTCTTTGTAGAATCGCATTTTCTGGTCCACTTCTTTGTGTTGCACCTGATGAACAATTTGTGGAGCAGATCAAGGGAGGAAACTTTCGTCAAACTTACGGATAATCTGTCAAGCTCATCCTTCTTCTTTGCGAGCTCAGTTTTGTAGTCTCGCAGCAAGTTAGTCACCTCCTCCACGCTCTGTTCTTTCTTGCCGCGCGCAGCGAGCTCCAAGGCACGATTGTCCTCCTGCAACTCGACAAGTTATGTGATACTTGTCACGAACCGGAAACGAGGACCTGCATTTTGTCTATGGTGCTGGCTAACTGAGTGCATTCTTCGGAGAACTTCTTTTGCTGGAAAAAAGAGAAACGAGCCAGAAATCAGCAACGAAAGTAAAGCATTTGTAGCCAACCTTTTGGTTGAAACTCTTTGATTCATCGTCTTCAAGGGCGTCGAAGTCCTGTTGAAGCTGTCTCAGCGTTGCCAAAGCCTCGTTCTTTTCCGCTTGTATCTCTCCTGCAGTCCCAGGTGTGTTACGTAATGACCCAATGCGTCAGTCACGGTAGAGGCTGTGTGCCTTGCAAGTGACGCTCGGAAAACTTGAAGTCCTCGAAAGCTTTCGAGCGTAGATCTCGTTCAGTCTGCAACTGCTGAGACAGACTTGTGTGATCTTTGATGGCCTGACAATAAAACGAGAAGTTCTCAGAAACTTTCGACTAGAAAAAACACGCCATACCCTCTCCTCGCGCCGGAAAACTTCATCCAAGTAGGCATTTATCGCGCTTTCTTCCTCGAGTGTTGTCGTCAATCGTTTCACAACCAGACTCCTGAACTGGAAAATTTAGATGTTTCGATCACAGAACCATGACAAAGAAAAGCACGCTTACCTTTTCCAGTATACTAAAAAACATCGACAGGCTCTTCGATTGCTCCTCCCTCGTAGAAAAGAAGTAATTTAGTGCCGCCCCGCGAGTCTATTCTTTGTAAGCAAACGCATCAAAAACAAAACGTTTAGCGATCATTTCAAAAAAAAAAACGCGAGAATTTTCATCTACACTGAAGAGCCGGCAAGCTCGCCACGTCGCGATGGAGAGCTCTTTCTCCTTGATGGGAATATCAGGCCCGCTCGCAGCCTCGTAAGCTACCGAGCAAAGCCTCACCTCATTGAGTGCCGCATAAGCTTCCTGGGCTTACAAAACCACGCACAGAAAATAAAACCATCACGAAACCAAAGAAGGAAGCGAAGAAATTCCTCTTTACCGAATCCAGGCTTCCTTTGGACAACTCCAGCTTCTCCAGTGTCTTCTCGGAGACATAGGTGAGGCACCTAAGACGAAGGAATCGCCCACATTTCGATCAGGAAGGAAGAGGGCGCCACACCCAAGCTTACTTCATCATCGCGAGCGCCTCGTCGACCATGGAGAGGAGAAGCTGGCAAGTGGGCGCCGGCGCGGAGTCGCGGATCCGCGCCGTGAAGGGCCGGGAAGCGCTCTCATCGTCCTCTCCAGCTTCCATGAAGCCCTAGCCCTAAAATTCAAAAGACCGGCATATTCTGGTACATTGAATCTCGGCCGTCCAAAGGCAACTTTGTCTCCTAGCTTGGGTCGGGAGCACGACCTGTGGAAGATCTTGGAAGAACTCAAAAGAGGGGAAAAAAGAAAGTGGCCGACATGGCTCGTAATAGTGCCCGTGGGTAGCTGTCCTCATCAAAAGCTGGGCTGTTCACCGACAAAAGGGTATGAAATTCAACCACGATGGATCGAATTTTCTTTCAGATCGCGCATTCGTGCATCGATCGATTTTGCCATCCATCCATCCATCAATGCCGTCGCATCCAGCATCGATCCATTTTGCCATCCATCCATCCATCAATGCCGTCGCATCCAGCGCGGGGTTTTGTGAGATCCCATGCACAGTGGCTGTCGAGAGATCTGTGGCAAGAAGGGAAGAAGGCTTGAAGGTTAGGAGCACCAAAAACTTTTTGCATCATCCGCGAGAGTGAGAGAGGCGAAGAAAAACAATAAAGTAAAAGTGATAGTTTTGGCGGAAAGGAAGAAGGATGTTGCTGCTGGATTCTATAGTGGTCGCTCTAGCACAGGAGAATCGCCTGCAAAACAATAGAAGAAGCCTTACTGCCGAAGAACTCGAGGAGAGAAAGCTTACCATCGTGTCCAATCTTTCGCGATTCCAGACGAGCTCCAATCTAGCTCCCAAATCGTCTAGTCGCGATCAAATGGAGATCGAGGAATCGTGCAGCAGTGATCCAGCTACTGACCACCAAAACTCCTTGTCAATGCACAGTTCTTCTCCCGAGCAAAGCAGGAGTGACTTCTCACCAGATATGTCGCTGGAGACGATCTTTTCCAAGTTGGTGACCAAGGAACAGGAGAAGATCCGCAAGAGCGTCTCGCAGCACGCAGGGAAGAATGCCCGTGCTCCGTTCGAGTGGGACGAATCGTGGCCTGGAAATTCACTAGCTCGAGGAGATCAAAGCGAAGAAAAAGAAGAAAAAGGATTTTACTCTCCACATCATACTGCTTCGTCTTCCATGAAGAACACCAAGAGCTTCTTCCCAGGTAAGTCCATAAGACATTCTCCCAGCAGCTCCATCAAAATCTCTCTTTCGTTCTTCGCTTTCTCTCAGAGTCTGAAATGTATCACCACCACCATGATCATCAAAGCCGAGAGGACGAGCTCGAGGAAGCTAGCAACTTGTCACCAACAACAGTCTTCCACTACGGGAGAACAGCCGGGAGTTCTTCGTCCGAGTCCACACCCCCAGCTCCAAAGCTCAAAGATCTCAACTCTATCCTTCCATTCCCGGCCTCGTTCCCCTCCGTCACGACCCCGATGGAAGCTCTCCTCCTCGCAAACGACCGCGGCTTTAGCTTCTCCATGTCCCAAGCAGTCCCGGACTCGCCAACCGAGGACCAGCTTCACGCCATCTCTCCGCTAAGCTTCGACACCGGAAGCCCCTGCGAGCACATCCTTCCCGGCCGCCTCGACTTCTACACGTACTACCGCCAGCACCAGCAGCAGCAGGAGGCCAAGAAGCTCCGAGCAAAGTCGGGTCCCCAGAAGCTTGGTTCTTCCTCGTCACTCTGGGGACTCACCAAGAGCATCAGCTTCTCGGGGGGACCTCGGCACAGCAGCAGCGATATCTTCCTCCTGCCGAGAAGATCAAACACCAGCCAGGCTCCTCACATTAGAAACAATTCTTCCACTGTTTTGAGCAACAGCACTGCTCACCACAACGTGAACCCGACCAGCTCGGAATCCAAGGAGAGCTCCAGCCGGAGTAGCAGCAAGAACAGCAACACCACCGTCACCAGCAGCGAGTTTAGCATCGAGCTGGCCGGGTCGAGGCCGAGCGGGATCGACGCCAGCGCCTTGAACAGCTCCAGGTACCTCGACTTGGACTTCACCAAGAACACTGTCGACGTCGAGCAGCAAAGCCAGGAATTCTTTGCCGCCACCTACAAGGACAAGCACAGTATGTTATACGATGTCAAGTCGGAGATCCGGAGCAGAGTGGAGGAAGTCGTCCGCAACACGGACGAGTCGAAGTTCACATTCTCACCTGTGAATTCATCCTTCCTGTTTCCAAAGTCAACATCGCGGGACACCAGCACCACCACGGGCCTCTACTCCGGCAACTTCAACTTGGATGGTCTCATCGACTTCCAGCCCGGCGAGGAGAAGAGCTCGGGCGTCGAGGACACGGCCAGGACGCGCAGCGTCATCGAGAGGATGTATGGAACCGGGAGCCCCCGAGCTGGAGAGACGAGTAGCGAATCCAAAGTAAGACTCGCGAGCTTTCCTTCTTATCGTGCTCAATTTTTCCTTTCTGCTTTGTCTCAGTGGTCCGATTCGTTCCTCTGGATTTGCTGCTGCACAAGGAGAAGGTCCACAAGTTGAGGAAAACCTCCACGATCGAAGTTCTCACGAGTTTCATTCGTGCTGCCCTTCACCCTCTGTCATAGCAATGGAACTCAGCCTTCCTGTTTGCCAGACGTATGAGCTCCAGGAGCGAATGAAACGCGAACCTCTTGCGAACCGGGAGGGCCACTGGAGCGGCGTAGCAGCCAGCAGTGCAAGGTTGTAGTTTTGCCAGGAGCTCCGAGCGGCGTGGACAAGAGCTCCCACCGCCGCAACCACGGCAACGAGTCCAAACATCCCCGAGAAGGCGTGCACGTTGATCTCGTCCGACTTGACTTTCACCACCTCTCCGCTGCACTGGATCGTGTGGAGCCATGTCTCGTGAAGCCTCTGCAGCTCTCCGGTCTCCGCGAGCGTGAGAATCGCGGTGGAAACATCCGCTGCTAGTGTCGATCCTTTTGGAAATGCCTGGTTCAAAGGAAAAAAAAAATGCTTTTTGCATAGAGAAAACACGAAAGGAACTAGAACTTACAAATCCCCAGCCGCTCTCCGAGAACTTTTCTTCGCCGGACAGTGCAAACTTACAATCGGACGAAAGCAAGAGCTGCATGTATGGGAGCTCGTCCACGACCGCTCCAACTTCTTTGGCGGCCAGAGCCGAGGAGTACGTGGAAATGGAGGGGAGGGGCACCAGTCTATCGTTGTCCACGTTAAGCTGGAGGAGATAGTCCTTCACGAAAGATCCCTGTTGATATCCAATCCGGACTTTACTCCCGACCAGCCGGGACAGGCCCTGGATTGATGGCCTGAGCTTACGAACAGTGAGAATCGATGTCAAGCTCGCCGTGTAGCTGGAGGTAAGAATAAGCACCACGAAGAGCCAGATAATGACCACTATCCTTCCCAAAATGCTCTTCACTCTTTCACCTGCGAGTGAGAAGTACAAACGAGTCATACAAGCGGAAAAAAGAAAGGAATGATATCCATACGCTGTGCGAAGAAGAGAGTCGAGAATATGAACCTGACGATCACACAACGAAAACCAAAAGAGAAATCGTATGAAAAGAAGAAGAAGAATATATTATGGTGTACTTACCAGAAGGTGGTGACGGCCTGCTTCTTCGGACGGCCTCCAAAGTCGCGATTTTTGGACCCAGACGACAGCTCCAGTGAACAGGAAAAAGGCCAGAGTTGTGCACCACAGACCAGTCGAGAAGGGCTGGAGGAAAGCCCACGCATGATGCGGACGAAACTCGGTCACCGGCACGACGAGCACCAGGCCCGACGTCGTGTAAGGCTGCGTGAAATCCACAATCTTCGCTCGCTTGTGAGTTATAGTGATGTCTCCCACAGCAGCATCATACTTCTAGAGAACCACACAGTCGAGTTCGTGAAAAAACCGAAGAAAAAATTATTCTTTTACCTTGTTCGCGACTTTCTCGACGAGCTCGTCATAGCTGGGAGTGGAATTCCCATCGCCAAATCCCACGAACGTGTACGTGACCGCATAGGGAAGGCAGGAGAGCGCGGCCTTGAACACGTCGATGCAAAAGCCATGGAAGCTACTCACATTGCCACTCTCGGCGATGGAGTCCACGAACTCCTTGTATCCCTGCTTGAGCGGGACGCCGATGACGAGCTCCCTTCCGGTTTTCGGGATCATCAATCCTCGCGGAACGTTCAAGCTGCCACCCGGCCACACGATCCGGTTGAGCCGCCGCTCCATCTGGCTAAACCATTCCAGCTCCTGGCTGTCCGAGGGAGGATCCACGTTGAAGCTCCTCGCCCGGTTCCAGTAGCCGACCACCCGAACTCCCTTCCCGTTCATGTTGACAATCTCCAGATCCGAGCCTTTGCGCTCCCCGCGGCTCGTCAGCTCCACCCTTCCGCTGGCTCCACCGAAGCTCGTCTTTGCGAGCTCCTTGAGGATCCGAGCTCCGGACTTTAGAACCGGCAGGCTGGCAAGGTCATGCCGACGTCGAAACTCGAAGCTCCGGCTTGCATTCGTGGACGACAAGAGCCTGTCCATCGCGTACGCGATCGTCCAGATGGTGTCATACGCGTAGAGGCCGTAGACGTTCACGCTGGTGGCCGGGTTCGCGCTTCGCCACCTTTCGTAGAACTTGTCGAGCTGCGGCGAGCGAGGGACGTAACTCCGGGTTCCCACGGCTCCCTGCGACGCCGCCACGAACTCGTCGTCGTCGTAGATGGTGTCGAGGACGCTGGCGAGCGCCTCGGTGACGATCCACACGTAGCCGGGCATGAGCATCCGGAGGTTGTAAGCCTGGATGAGCAGCGTCCTCCCGACGCTGGCGTCGACGTGGACGACGAACACCCGGCAGCCCGACTCGGCAAACCGGGCCAGGGACTCGCTAACGTCGTCCTGGCTCATCCCCTTGCTCACCGCGGCCTTGAACGAGACGGTGGCGCCGACCTTGCCGAGCTCGTCGTGGAGCTCCATGACGCCGCTGGTGCCGAAGCTGTCGTCCGAGTAGAAGGCCGCCACCTCCTTCCACTCGAAGAGCTTGACGAAGCCGGCGATGGCCTCCATCTGGATGCGGTCGCTGAGAGCCAGGCGGAGGAAGAAGGTACTGCGCCTCGGACAGCGTGGGATCGGTGGCCGAGAAGGAGACGACCGGGACGCGCGTCATTCGTCCCATGTGTGCTACGAAGTTCGCCACCTCCGACGTCTGGGGGCCGGCGATGGTCACGACTTTGTGCCGCTTGATCAGCTCCACCGCTGCAAAGAAGAGTTGGAAGCTCTCGATCTTTTAGAAAAATGGATGCTAACGTACCTGCGGCAGCTCCTTGGACAGCGTTGCAATTGCCATCGGAGAACTGGACGAGCAGCCGGGTTCCATTGAGCACCGTGTCGTCGCGGTTGATCTCCTCCACCGCGAGCTCGATCGCGGCCCTGGCAGCCCGTCCAATCCTCGTCCGGAAGGCGAACAGCCCAATTGTCACATTCTCGGGCACTGGACTGGCGAGAGGAAGAACAAGCGAGAGGACAGCGATGACCTTCCATCCTAGCACCATACTACTACTACCCCGGCACATGGGAAGAACACTCGACCATGGCCCTCGGATGCGAGGATCCGAGGGCGAAGGCGGTGCCACGAAGCTGGCAGTTAGGGCTCGCGATGCCGGCCGGTGTGGCAGGCAGCGAGGAAAAACAGGAAAAAAAATCGCCATCCATCACACCCAAGATCCAAGGAAGCTCACACAAGTAAGCTTTTGACGCCACCACGATCGCCCATCTGGATCCACGATCGATCAAACCGGCGGAGCGGTGACCCAATTGCGAGCCCTGGCGTGGGCTCCAATGCAAATCGCGAGATGCGCTAAGCTGGGAGTGTGAGCGGAGGAGAGAGAATAAGAACAACCCGAGCAAGAAGAGATAGATCATGACGAAGATGGAGGTAAAGAAGCAGCAGCAGCAGCCAGCGGCGAGGCCGATGAGCGCCGGGCCGGGGCCGCGGGCGGCCAGCCCCTACAATCCAAAGCCACGCTCGGATGCGTCGCTGCGCGCCGTCATGGATCTCTCGGGCGCCATGCCGATGATGCCCATGACGCCGCCACCGCCCAATGGGCTCAAGGGCATGGCCGTGTCGCCCGCGACGCTGTCGATGCGCGCCAAGGGGAGCCTCATGCCCAAGAAGATCCTCATGGGCTCCAGGGACAAGGAGGCGCTGCTCGAGGAGATTTTGGAGCTCAAGAGGGTGCTCTACGAGCAGGATAAGCACATCAAGTTCCAAAAGGTCCACACCTCGGCGCTTGAGATCGAAAACAAGTACTTCTTGCCATCCTCCAAACATTTCTAGCTATAAGCCCGGTCAGTGTTCTTGGTTTCTCCAGCGAGGAACAAACTTGTTGATCTCGCGTTTCTTGGCAGAAAGCTCGAGCGAGACATCGAGGATTTGGAAGCACAGGGAGCGGCCGAGGCTCCCAGAACCGGAGGCTCATCGCGTCTACGAGCAAAGCTACAAGGTTTCCTTTCTCTCCAAAGTGTTCTTCGCGAGGATTCACCTTGCAAGCTTCTTCGCTCCAGGATTGAAAATGCGGATAAACGACTTGCAATCAACCTGTGACAGGCAGCTGGAGGAGCTCGCGCTCCTTCGCAAGGACTTGCGTGTTTCTCATACAAAGGCAAGCTTTCGTCACTCTTTCAAGCTTTCCTTTCATCACTCCTCGATCTAACGCGATGATCCACCAGGAAGTTGAAGTAGAACGGGACGTGTTTGCCGGGGAGGTCGGGAACTTGCAAAAGCTGGTCCGGCGGCTCAACGCCACGCACAACCGGATAAGCTGCCAGAACAAGGAGCTGGGACGCCTCAAAGAGAAGGCCAACATCCTCGAGACGACACAGCACAGGCTCCAATCCTCCATGCAAGTAAGGAGCTTCCGTCCTTCTGTAGATCTACGTCCATAGCCTTTAGATCATCCAGGTCCGGGCAAGATCTCACGTAGAAACTTTGGAGCTAACACACTCTTCCAGGCCGCTCAAGACACTTTGGAGCGAGCGAGCTACGAGCTCAAGGGCTTCCGCAACAAGGCCCGGGAGACGACGCTGGAGGCGAGCCGGAACATGAAGCGGTGCAAGGAGCTCCAGCAGCACGCCGGCTTCCTGGAGCAGCTCCTCGAGAAGGAGCGCGTGGACAAGGAGTACTTCGAGAAGAAGGTGTTCCAGCTCGCGCAGGAGCTCCGGCGGGTGGACACGCAGCTCCAGAACGCCAAGGGCTACTCGAGGGTGAACGCGTTCAAGGGGATGCCCAAGAAGAAGCCGCCGGAGCCGCCACCATCGGTGAAGAGCACCACGACCACGACCACGACGAGCAGCGGCGCAAACACGCCCAAGAAGGTGAGAGTGGCGTCGCCGAGAGGCGGGGCATCGCCGCGATCGCCCAGAGGGAACGTAGTGCCCGACCAGGACGTGGTGGACATCACCAACAGGCTCGTCAATGCGGCGCAGTTCCACTTCGAGCAAAGCTTCAAGCACAAAGGCGAGTAGCTATGGCAATTTAAACGAGAATATACTAGCGGTATATTCACGGCCAGGCGCATCGCCACCGTTGATCACGCCATCGACACATCCCAGCCGTCGAGATGCAGTCGTTATGAGAAGCTAGGGTTTCCTCCCTAAATTTTTTTCACTTAGCAAAGCTTGCGCGAGAGAGGAGAGGAGAAGCTCTGCGATGGTGCGCGAAGACGGTGAGTTCGACGAAGACGACTGTGCTGAGCTCCTCAAGGTCTACACGAGGGGCGAGAGGCTGGGCTGCGGGCGCCAGGGCCAGGTTTTCGTGCTCAAAGGTGCCAGGAGCTACGCTGGGAAGATGTTTCGATCGGGGAGGGAGGCCGGGAGAGAGCTCCGGCTCATGTCCAAGCTCCGCCCCTGCGCTGGAGTGGTCTCCCTCACGGGCTTCGTGAGGGAGAGGAGCGGCGGGGCTTGCTACGGGACCATGGTGATGGAGCTGTGCGGCCCTAGTCTGTGCCATCGATTGATCAAGGGAGGGCCGCTGGGCGAGGAGGAGGCCGCCAAGACCATCCAGAGGCTGGCGGAGACGCTCAAGGAGATCCACTCCAGGGGCATCGTCCATCGGGATCTCAAGCCGGAGAACATCTTCGTCAAGCTGGACGCTAGTGCCGTGCACGAGGTGGTGATTGGAGACTTTGGCGTGGCCACGGACGACATCAAGGAGATGTCGCAGTACTGTGGAACGGGGAAGTATATGGCCCCGGAGGTGGCAAGCTGCAAAGGTGGTCATGGCGATGGAAGCTCGCAGAGCTTGTACACCAAGGCCGTCGACGTTTGGGCGCTGGGAGTGATCGCGTATGAGCTGCTGAGGGGCTACAAGCTGCCCCAGCAGATCGAGCTCTTGCGAGGCGGGGTATTCCCGGATGGTTCTCCTGTCTCGGACGAGGCGGAGGATCTCATCTGCGGGATGCTGGCTGTGGAGCCGAGCGAGAGGCTGACGCTGGATGGCGTGCTGGAGCATCCCTGGATCGTCGGTAATTGCAAGATCGAGACGATGTCTCGCAGGAGGCGCTGTGGAGTGAAGAGGAGTGCTCCTGGCCATGGTAGCGACTTGGTTGTGAAGAAAATTCGAGCGGCATGAGTGAAATCCGGTAAGAACTCGTTTGTTGATTTTTCATTTCTTTACTAACTTTGTTGTTTGTTCTAGACATCGAAACATTTTCGTGTCTCTAGCTAGCTGAAAATTGTTTCTGGGAATCCTATGATGAATTCATTCTTAGAATTTTCAATTATAAATTAATATAAGTTTCTACAGTTTCTTAAGTTTCTAAATTTACTTCTTAATTTTTTTTGAATGTTTAAGAATGTTTCTTTGTGAGTGAGAGATGGATCAAACATTTCATCCTAAAAATTAGATTTAAGTTAAATATATATTAATTATAATTTTATTTAATATTTATTAGTGGTAACTATTTGCTCATTATAACTCATAGAGTATTAATATTTAAATATAAATTTTCTTTTGTGAATCAAACATTAATAATAAACTTTTAAACAAGAATGTGATCAAATACATAAAACACTTTTGCTCTTATACTTATGAATTACCAATTGTGTTATTTGCACATAAATTTTTTTGTAACTTATCACTTATAATATTAGCATAAAAAGTAAGAAAAATAGTCACTACTTAATGAAATTATAATCATATCTTATTAATTATTAAATTAATTTATTTTTACATAATATATTTATACATTTAAGATTTATGGCAAAAACTTTAGGAAGTGAATATACTTTAATAAAACACTTGGCCTCTTTGTGAAAATATATTTTATTTATAGTTACTATAAAATAATATTTTAAACTAAATACTATGTATAGACATTGAGAGCTCGCTACGTTGAGCGAACACAAATCCTTTAGATCATTTTGGCTGATATATGTATTGAGATGAAACAGACTCAAACTTTCTTACATCAACACACATTACATACATACATACATATATATATATATATTTTAGATATATAAATTTAAAAATTATATGTGTTTGAATTCTTTATGACATGTATGACTCACAAAATAATTTAGCAAAAAAAATTTAAGTTCTTCTTTTTTATTTAAGTTTAGCAAAAATAACAAGGAAGATTGTGAAAGTTTAAATTAAATATGGCCATAAACCTCCACACTATTTAGTCTAATGGGGTCTTATTAATCTCTATGTAAGAATCACAAGTGTTATACATATTGCTCAACTTGAGCAAACATTTAATCTAAGACAGTAAAATTTTGTGGCATCAACCAAGTTTTGGATAAAATTATTAGTGGATTAAAAATTGTGGTTTCATATGCCATGTTAAATTAGTTGGAGCTCGTGATCTTATTGCTTAACAGCATGTTGAATGAAATATTAAAAAAACAATCCATCCAATTGTGATAATAAATTTTATAATCCTAAACATATTTACTCATTCCCAAGCCATTATTATGCATATAATCACATTTCAATTGCTATTATAACAATCAAAACAATCAAAACATGATTGTATACATTATAACATTGTGTGCAATTCAAAACCAAAATATACGTGTAAATATATAATGCTCATGTGAAATCACTTGTTCGTTTGATGCATAGAATCTGCAAATAATTTCCAAAATGTATTACTTTAATATTAATCTTAAATATACAAGAATATATCCGATCTTTGTGCTTGAGAACCAGGCTTTTTTATATGCATTCCTGCTCTGTTGGAGGGATTCCTGCAGCAAGCCAGATTTTGAGACCTGCGCAAGCGCGGATCTCGGGCAGCTCCTTCACGAGGAAATCCTGTTCTCCCAAACGTAATCGCAGCATCGATTCCTGGGAAATCGCTCAAGTTGTGAGGCACAATCCTGTTGGAGCAAGAGATGGATTTGGAAAATCAAGAAGGGCCATTTGCGAGACGGATGGAGCTGGATCAAGAATGCGTGAATGATTGATTGATTGATTGATAAAAATTGCCCATCACAGGAGAACTCCTTCCTAGACAAAAAACTGCAAAAGCTTCTATGGATTTATAAAAGGAAATATATTATCGCCATCACAGCTTTACGCATTGAATCTTACAGACTTTGAAGACTTTCCCAAGGCTCGTGATGACTAATCATCAACGAGCACTGAGGAATCGAACGTAATTGCAGCATGTCCTGTGGTTTATGATTTCCAATCGCTCAAGTTGTGAGGCACAATCCATGGGGGCACTTCTAAGAGCAAGAGATGGATCTGGGAGAAGAATCAAAGCGCAGACAAGGATTGCAAGAGGGGCCATTTCACGAGATGGATGGAGTTAGATTGAGAATGTGCTTAAAACGTGACACTGGTAAACAAATCTCCATACCGAATCCTTTTCGTTTTGGCTCGCAACTATAGAGCTACTTTTTAAACATTTTCTGTAAATGGCGCTTAAAAACATTTGGTCAGCGCATTCCAACCGTCCGGTCAAAATAGTCAACGTGAACGTATTGCTGGAACGCCTCTAGTGGTGTTGGGTCGTGCGCCGGTACCGCGCGTCATACTGTGGGTAAGTCATTATATGAAACGTCCACTGGAGGCGATGGGTACGAGGTACAATCAATCAATCAATCAATCAATCAATCACTCTCATCGAGTCCTCGTTGTATCTCAGAACCTGAAAATTGGCGCCTTAGACCCACAAATATAAGCCTTGTCCATTACCTCGTTTTGTATCAGCTCCACTTCGTCGTGTAAGGCCTTGAGCCCGGCTTCTTTCTTCGACCGAGCCTCGTTTAAGTTACTTGTGATAATTTCCACCTGCAAAAGAATTTGAATCTGAAGAACAAACCAAATTAAGCGTTCGTACCTCGTCTTGCTTTCTCGCGATTTGCTCTTCCTGTTTATCCAGTTGATCAATCAGGGGCGCATTTTGCAACCTGAAATCTTCAAGCTCCTTGACCGTCTCCTGGCACTTGACGTCGAAGGACGAATCTAGCTTCTCCAGTAGATTGTGAAAGTGCTGGCCTGAAAGATACTTGAGTTAGTATCACATGTGAATACCAAGAGCCAGCTGCACACTGGTAACCGAATGCTTCTCTTCATTCTCTTTAAGTTTCACCTTCATGTCCTTCGAATCTTTCACCATTTTCTTCTGAAGAGCCGCCTGTACAGCAAAACAAGTCAATCCGTCGTGCGAGTCGAGCGAGAGTAACGAAATTACCTGCTTGTCCAGCGAGTCCATCATATCAAGGCATTTTTGCACTTTCCTTTTCGCCTAAGAGGTTGCAACATGATATAAGGTTTGCTCGGCCAAGGAAAGACAAAATAAATATTAACGCACTTTTGTGTATGCCTCGTACTTGTGCTTCCATTTGACGACGGATTGACGGGCCGATTCAACCTCAGCTTCCGCATTCTGAACAGCCGCCCTCCTGTCTTCAAGCATTTTCTGGAAAGGGAGCGCAACGTTAGACCGAAAAGAACAAGAAAAAAGGAAGTAGAATATAGAATTTCAGAGCTTACCCGAAGCTTGTCGGGAGATTGTACAATCTGTGTCCGCAGCTGGAACCCTTCTTGTTTCATTTGAGCAACAGAGGCTTTCTCGCTTACAATCTAAATACAAACCAACATCTCACTGTTTAAGAAGAAGAAAAAACACTCCACAATTCAGCTCCTCTTTGATGCCACGTATGTCGCTTTGCAACACGGCTTGTTGTTTGTTGAGATCGTAGATTTTCTGCTCCAGTTCTTTCGCCTCCACGGACAATTTCTGGACTTGAGGCTCCTCAGCTTTCGCTCCGCCTCGCCTTGAGCAATTGCGTTTTGAAGCTAAAGATGAAGAGATTAGCATGTTCTTGTACATCTTAACACGGAAAGAAAGCAGCCTTCTCACCTGTATCCTGGTTTCTTCCAATTGCTGGATTCTGTCGTCTCGGTATCCCTCTCCGCTCAAAAGTAGTTAGCATTCTGATCAAACAAAAAAGAAGAAAGACGCCACACCCGAAGTACGCAAAGTTGATCACTGTTCTAGCCGGCTCCCGCCTGAAAATATCAATCATCCACACCAACGGCATGCATGAGCTTGGAAAGAGCTCCTGATGCCGCACGCAATCCAAGGCGCCAAGAACGGGCTGCTGTCAGTCATGTTTGGTGGCAGCAACGCTCTTTGCATCCACTTCCTCCCCGCGATGGAGTCCATGCAATTGCTTTTTCCAATCGTAAGTGTTGCATGACCCGGCCATGGAGGAGCATAAACTCTAGAAAACAATTTGGTGGGAAGATAAACTGTATACACGTCCGCCGCGATCACATTGACTCTAGCAGTGCGCTCGTTGACTAAATTGACCAGGCGCGTTGACTGGCACTGTATCACGTTTTCGAGCTGAAAAATTCCGCTATCGTTGTCGGCTTTCCTCGCTTGTTGCTTTGGACACCCATTCTACCTGTAATTCTTGCTGGATTTCAGAGGGAAGCTCTGCAAACACGCTGTGATCGACCTCTTCCTGCTTATACTCCCAAGCCACGGTTTCTTCCTTCCTCTCCGGTTGGGATTCCGGAATGGAGCCGTCTGTGGGAACACTAGCGCCAGCCCTATCTTCCTCAAGACGTACCTCCTTGGAGATCGATGGGCACTGTTGTTGCTGCTCACTGGCGTTTCTAGGGTCTCCTGTTACTGGAGGCCACTGAGTGATTGGATTCACTCCCTGGAAAGAGCAAACAACATCCTTACTAATGGTTTGAAAAAATCGTACCATCGGCTTTGCCATGATATTTGAGGTAGTAACAGATAGTCTTGCGCTGCTGGTTATCTCGCTTTGCTCCTTTCCAGCTGAGTGGTGAGAGAAAAACTCGTGCAAGCTTCACTCGAAGAGGTATCGGCTGTCTACGATCTTGTCTATGCCATATCTTAAAGGCCGCAACTTTGAGGAGAACTTTGGAGCCTCCAGTGAGTGATAAGTAAGGACCATGACACAAAAGTTTAGCTGGGACTTACAATGTGACATGAATTGTGAGAAGATGCGCAGTGCGATTGTTTTGTAACCACAGGGTCCACAACCACATCCTGGCTTCAATATTATCTGATCGCTTCTTTGGGCGCTCAGCCATTGACTCATCACCACAGAAATTTGCACACAATATCTTTGCTCAATGTTTTGATGTCAACAAGACAACTGAAAATAAAGGCGAGCTTAAGACAGGTGGTCCGCATGCCTGTGGATTGTGCGGCTCTCCAGTTGTTAAAGCATCCGGCGGTGTTGCTTCAGCTGTAGAGCATGAGGATATTCCCGTAGGAGAGGGCGTAGTTTGGATCGTTCTGCAGCGTGAAGCTGGCCGCAGAAGTTGTGGAGGATCAGTTCCTGCTGCTGTCGCAGCTGCGCGGATCGATGGTGATCACATTCCGGCTGGTGAAGTTGAGGACTTCGTAGCGAATGCAGCGGCAGCCTGAGCGTCATGTTGTGCTCGCAGTGGAGCCGGCTGAGCTGCATGCATCGTGATCCGTGAGCTGCTGCTGCCGAATTGCAATGTAGAATGGATACTCAACTGTGAGGTTGCCGCATTTGTGATTCGGGCAAGAGTCTACCAGTGGGACTAGAATGCGTTTGGCATATTTTCATGCTATCTATCCAATGCTCACACTTGAACACTTACTGGTGAAGACTTATTATTATCTCAATCTCTATTGAGATTGGATCTGCAAGGATAGGGGGCAGCATGCGCATTTTACTCAACCTTCATGGAGATTGAGCCACATGAGTATGGCATGATGTAGAGAGTAGCAGTGATCTTCAACAAAAGACTTGGAGGAGAATAAATCACTTCTTGCACAAACCTGCCGACGATTGTGTCCTCCCCAAAAATACCACCGTTCACTGGAAACACGTTCTTTTCTTTCTGAATATTAATAACACCTTTGGAGTTGAAGGTGAATAGCTCTGGTCCATCCTTCAGCTCGATGGTGAAAGTATCAGTGATAAAGTCACGAGTACTCCCAGATTCATAAACCACCCTTGAAACCACGCCTTCTATAACTCCAATCTGATATGAGTCGTAGGCAGTACCAGTGGTGAGCTTGCAGCTGAATGCATAAGTTTTTCCATCCTTTGAGATGCTCGTTCTGCATGATCTTTCCCCTTCCAGAATGATCTGCCCATAGAAGTTCAAAGTCAGGGGTTTTGAATTCCTGCAAGCATCAAAACCAGGAGTTGTTCGAGCATGCCCAAGAGTTGCCTGTTCAACAGAAGTTAAAAGATGAGAGATTGGACACATATGTGACAAATAACACCTACCAATGTAGCCAGTCCAAAAAAGAAGAAGAATAAGGAAACATAGAACTTACAAGCCATTTTGTGAATGAGCCCCGTAGCTACCCTCACTCCTTAAATAATGGGCAATGCATACTGTGCCGTATGTCCAGCAAATACTAAACCAGCTTAGTATTAGGCTCTAACTAATTAATTGTTTTTGGTGTGCTGGCAGAAATGAAGTTGACTATCGAATTGTTTTTATCCATCAAAACATAAAAGTTGTTTAATTGTCTTGTTGACAAAGAAAAAGCATCAAACTTCTTACATTAAATCATTTTTACTTTTTCTTTATTCTTCTTTTTGTTTAAGATTATTTCTTTACAAAATGATTTAGATCACATTTTGCAGTTTCTTTCTTTTCTTGTTCTTTTTTATCTCATTTACTCAAGAGTTTTTTTATAATCAGGGCATTAAACTATCATGAGTTACAAAAACTATATGTGAACTATCTGTAATTTTTATGTAAAGTGGATACCTATCCACTTTATATAAAAACTTATAGATTTAGTGACATGTAGTATTTCTATATTATTGCACATATGTAAACATTTACATATTCTTACATAAAATATTTAACACAAATGTCAAAGACAGCTAAAAACATTTGCATATTACTTCACATGTTATTAATGTTATTTCACATAAAAACATTTAAATTTTACACACTATTTCACTTTTTTTAAAAAAATATTTTTATATTACACGTTTTATTTCTTACATTCCATATAAACATTTCACATTTTTTTTAATGCAATTTATGTAAGTGAAGTTTTCACACTAAAGAAATCGAGAAGTGGCGCATCATATTCTCAATTTGAAATTAAAAGGCCATTGCATAGAAGTATTTATTGTTTTTAGTGTTTGCTAGATATCTTACTTAAACTTGTTCATATTAATGAGCACATTTTTTGCCCACACATAATGTTGTTAAGTGTTTTGGTGGTTTTCACTTTTGTTTTCTAGAGATAGATAGGAGAATTGCTACCATTGAATGGAGCATAAAGACAATCTATAGCATTTGTATATTTTGAATGTGCCATGGACGTACAAGTCTCATATATAATAATGTTGACAATGTAACTATAGTCCTTGACAATTTAATCACATAAAACCAGAGTACCATTAATGAATGACAAAGAAACCACTGTTGTTCAAAAGTCACACCTCAGTACTGGGACAAAAGCTACTATAGTCAGTGAATATAATGCACATGGCTCTGAAGAAACATCAAACATGTTGCATCAAATTACCATCACTATATTCATTTTCTCTTTATTCTTTTTTTTGTTTAAAATAAGTTCTTTATAGGATGATTTAGATCATATTTTGCATTTTCATTTTGTTCTTTTTTATCTCATTTACTCAAGAGTTTTTTTTATAATTAGAGTATCAAACCATCATGAGTTACAAAAACTATATATGAACTATCTATAATTTTTATATAAAGTGGATGCTTATCCACAAACTTATATATTTAGTGACATGTAGTATTTATATATTATTGCACATATGTAAACAATTACATATTCTCACATGAAATATTTCACACAAATGTCAAAAACAGTTAAAAACATTTATACACTACTTCATATGTTACTAATGTTATTTTACATAAAACCATTTACATTTTACACGTTATTTCACTTTTTTTTAAAAAAGATTTTTATATTACACATTTTATTTTTTACATCCTATATAAACATTTCACATTCTTTTTTATACAATTTATGTAAATGAAGTTTTCACACTGAAAGAAATCGAGAGATGGCACATCATATTCTCAATTTGAAGCTAAAAGGCCTTTGCATAATAATATTTATTGTTTTTTGTGTTTGCAAGATATTTTGCTCAAATTTGTTCATAGAAACAAGCACATTTTTTGCCCACACATAATGTTGTTAAGTGTTTTGGTGGTTTTCACTTTTGCTTTCTAGAGATAGATAGGAAAATTGCTACTATTGAATGGAGCATAAAGACAATCTAAAGTATTAATATGTTTTGAATGTGTGATGGACGTACAAGTCTCATATATGATAATGTTGACAATGTAACTATAGTACTTGACAATCTAATCACATAAAACCAGAGTACCATTAATGAATGACAAAGAAACCACTGTTGTTCAAAAGTCACACCTCAGTACTGGGACGAAAACTACTATAGTCGGTGAACATAATGTACGTAGCTCTAAAGAAACATCAAACTTGTTACATCAAATTACCATCACTATGTTCATTTTCTCTTTATTCTTCTTTTTGTTTAAAATAAGTTTTTTATAGGATGATTTAAATCATATTTTGCATTTTTTTTTCTTTGTTCTTTTTTATCTCATTTACTCAAGAGTTTTTTATAATCAGGGCATTAAACTATCATGAGTTACAAAAACTATATATGAACTATCTGTAATTTTTATGTAAAGTGGATACCTATCCACTTTATATAAAAACTTATAGATTTAGTGATATGTAATATTTATATATTATTGCACATATGTAAATACTTACATATTCTTACATAAAATACTTAACACAAATGTCAAAGACAGCTAAAAACATTTGCATATTACTTCACATGTTATTAATGTTATTTCACATAAAAACATTTAAATTTTACACACTATTTCACTTTTTTTTTAAAAATATTTTTATATTACACATTTTATTTCTTACATCCCATATAAACATTTCACATTTTTTTTAATGCAATTTATTTAAGTGAAGTTTTCACACTAAAGAAATCGAGAAGTGGCACATCATATTCTCAATTTGAAATTAAAAGGCCTTTGCATAGAAGTATTTATTGTTTTTAGTGTTTGCTAGATATCTTGCTTAAACTTGTTCATATTAATGAGCACATTTTTTGCCCACACATAATGTTGTTAAGTGTTTTGGTGGTTTTCACTTTTGTTTTCTAGAGATAGATAGGAGAATTGCTACCATTGAATGGAGCATAAAGACAATCTAAAGCATTTGTATATTTTGAATGTGCCATGGATGTACAAGTCTCATATATAATAATGTTGACAATGTAACTATAGTCCTTGACAATTTAATCACATAAAACCAAAGTACCATTAATGAATGACAAAGAAACCACTGTTGTTCAAAAGTCACACCTCAGTACTGGGACAAAAGCTACTATAGTCAGTGAATATAATGCACATGGCTCTGAAGAAACATCAAACTTGTTGCATCAAATTACTATCACTATATTCATTTTCTCTTTATTCTTTTTTTTGTTTAAAATAAGTTCTTTATAGGATGATTTAGATCACATTTTGCATTTTCATTTTGTTCTTTTTTATCTCATTTACTCAAGAGTTTTTTTTATAATCAGAGAATCAAACCATCATGAGTTACAAAAACTATATGTGAACTATCTATAATTTTTATATAAAGTGGATGCCTATCCACAAACTTATATATTTAGTGACATGTAATATTTATATATTATTGCACATATGTAAACACTTACATATTCTCACATGAAATATTTCACACAAATATCAAAAACAGTTAAAAACATTTGTACACTACTTCATATGTTACTAATGTTATTTCACATAAAACCATTTACATTTTACACGTTATTTCACTTTTTTTTTTTAAAGATTTTTATATTACACATTTTATTTTTTACATCCTATATAAAAATTTCACATTCTTTTTTATACAATTTATGTAAATGAAGTTTTCACACTGAAAAAAATCGAGAGGTGGCACATCATATTCTCAATTTGAAGCTAAAAGGCCTTTGCATAATAATATTTATTGTTTTTTGTGTTTGCAAGATATTTTGCTCAAATTTGTTCATAGAAACAAGCACATTTTTTGCCCACACATAATGTTGTTAGGTGTTTTGGTGGTTTTCACTTTTGCTTTCTAGAGATAGATAGGAAAATTGCTACTATTGAATGGAGCATAAAGACAATCTAAAGTATTAATATGTTTTGAATGTGTGATGGACGTACAAGTCTCATATATGATAATGTTGACAATGTAACTATAGTACTTGACAATTTAATCACATAAAACCAGAGTACCATTAATGAATGACAAAGAAATCGTTGTTGTTCAAAAGTCACACCTCAGTACTGGGACGAAAACTACTATAGTCGGTGAACATAATGCACGTAGCTCTAAAGAAACATCAAACTTGTTACATCAAATTACCATCACTATGTTCATTTTCTCTTTATTCTTCTTTTTGTTTAAAAATAAGTTTTTTATAGGATGATTTAAATCACATTTTGCATTTTTTTTTCTTTGTTCTTTTTTATCTCATTTACTCAAGAGTTTTTTATAATCAGGGCATTAAACTATCATGAGTTACAAAAACTATATGTGAACTATCTGTAATTTTTATGTAAAGTGGATGCCTATCCACTTTATATAAAAACTTATAGATTTAGTGACATGTAGTATTTCTATATTATTGCACATATGTAAATACTTACATATTCTTACATAAAATATTTAACACAAATGTCAAAGACAGCTAAAAACATTTGTATATTACTTCACATGTTATTAATGTTATTTCACATAAAAACATTTAAATTTTACACACTATTTCACTTTTTCTTTAAAAAGATTTTTATATTACACATTTTATTTCTTACATCCCATATAAACATTTCACATTTTTTTTAATGCAATTTATGTAAGTGAAGTTTTCACACGAAAGAAATCGAGAAGTGGCGCATTATATTCTCAATTTAAAATTAAAAGGCCTTTGCATAGAAGTATTTATTGTTTTTAGTGTTTTCTGGATATCTTGCTTAAACTTGTTCATATTAATGAGCACATTTTTTGCCCACACATAATGTTGTTAGGTGTTTTAGTAGTTTTCACTTTTGTTTTTCGAAGATGGATAGGAGAATTGTTACTATTGAATGGAGTATGAAGATAATCTAAAGCATTTGTATGTTTTGAATGTGCCATGGACGTATAAGTCTCATATATAATAATGTTGACAATGTAACTATAGTACTTGACAATTTAATCACATAAAACTAGAGTACCATTAATGAATGACAAAGAAATCGTTGTTGTTCAAAAGTCACACCTCAGTACTGGGACGAAAACTACTATAGTCGGTGAACATAATGCACGTAGCTCTAAAGAAACATCAAACTTGTTACATCAAATTACTATCACTATGTTCATTTTCTCTTTATTCTTCTTTTTGTTTAAAATAAGTTTTTTATAGGATGATTTAAATCATATTTTGCATTTTTTTTTTCTTTGTTCTTTTTTATCTCATTTACTCAAGAGTTTTTTTTATAATCAGAGCATCAAACCATTATGAGTTACAAAAAATATATGTGAACTATCTATAATTTTTATGTACAGTGGATGCCTAGTCAATTTTAAATTGATTACACATTGAATAGAAACTTATATATTTAGTAACATTTATATATGATTTTACAAATGTAAACACATAAATATTCTGACATGAAATACTTCATACAAATTTCAAAGACAGCTGAAAACATTCGCATATTACTTTACATGTTATTCATGTTATTTCACATAAAACATTCACCATTCACACACTATTTCACTTATATTTTTTATAAGTTAAGATTCTATTTCTTACACGTTTTATTTCTTACATCTCTCACATATTATTCACATTTTTCTTATACAATTATTTCACACTCTAAACTTAATCATTTGTTAGAATGTATTTTTGTTCTTCCTATGATGCACTAACTACTACCTCCTCAAGAGGCCTGGCTGTGGCCCTCAACAAACCTGGCAATGCAGACACAGTATTTGGGGTCTTCCCACCACCCTATTTGGCCCACAACTTTAAAACATATTTCTTCGTCATCAATGAAAAGCTTTGCCTCTTTCAAACTGTTGAATCTTTTGTATTGTGCACCTTTAAAATCATTTACCTAGTCTTTGCATTCTGTCCATGTAATGTAACTCCAAGCCTTTTAGGCCCCCTCATCATTGTGTAGTACTTTCCAAACAACCACAAACAAGAAATGTAAGTTGAAGACACATGAAACACAAACTCAAGTAGAATCAAAATCATGTTTAACACTTTCAACAAGAACCTTCACAATGTGGAGTTGTTTATCATGCGTAAGTCAAGCACCTGGTGGTTATTAAAGTGAACATTATTCCTAGCAATTGTTAAGCTTTCTTTGTTTCTGCAAGAGCTTTGTATGCACATGTGAGCAGAGCTACTAGTAAAAGTGAAGAAAATAGCAGGATGATAGCAATGCTAGCGCCAATGGTGGAGCCAAAGATTGAAAAGTCACATGGCTGAAGGCGCTAATCCTAATGACAAGCAGGGGGTTAACCGGGGCCTTTCCTGAGACACATTTTCTGTGCCACTTGGAGAATATTTCTGTTTTGGCTGCTCCGTAACTGTGACAAATATCTAGCTGTTCTCGGCAGCATTGTCTACAACACCCTTCGGAAGACCATCTCCATTGGCAACGAAAAAATTCCTATACACATGTTATAGTGAATGGCATCCTAGTAAATGAAAACAAATACCTTCGGACGTTGAGATCTTGCTACATTATGTGGGCATCACCTTGATACAACAAGCGGCATGGGCGTAGCATCCGGTATTGGAAAACCTGGGACCATGTGGTCGTTTTGAATCTGGATAAGGCCCGGGAAAGGGGGTGGGATATTGTGTTGGACAGGAGATGTGCTTAATCTGTATACCAATTTCCTCTTTCAAGGGTAGTTACAAATGCCCCCCACAATTCCCACTGTTCTTTGGATTCTCAGACCCCACAGCATAACACAGGAGACAGATAATCACACGGTCAGCACCAATATTTCACCTGGCAGACCACCGCAGCAAATCCCCGCTGCAACCAATGCCCCAAATTCTTCCCCAACATGGTGTGTGGAATCTTATCCCCACACACGGCCAGAAATCCTCGTTGCGCATGAGGCCTTGAAGCAACATGCGCTGAAAGTGAACTGCAGCACCAACAGAATGGCCTTTTTGGGCATACGCTCCTACAAGTGAAGTCCAAGACACAATATCCTTTTGTTGGCAAGCCATCCCTTGAAACACAGCAACTGCATTCTCCAGGCTGCCACACTTGGTGTACATGTTGATGAGGGCACTTGCGACCACCGTTGTTGTTGTTGTTGATGTTGGTTCTTCTCTGACTCCGGCTTCTTCCATGCCAGCTTCGTTCTCACGGATGAGCGACTCGATCCATTTGCTGTTTTGGAGACAGCAGCGCTGAGCAGCGCCACAAATGTGTGGCTGTTGGGCCCCGCATCCGGAACAGTCGGAATGCCTGAACCCAATGCCCGTGCTGGGCATTTGCTGCGATCATGGCAGCCCAAGACACCATATTCCTCTTCTGCATCCTGTCGAACACAGCGTGCGCCACCTGCACATCCCCACACCGGACGTACATGTTTACCAGGCAATTCCAGAGAGAGACGTGCTGCTCCAGATCCTTGGCGACAATGCTCCGGTGGAGGAGGTTGCCCCCATCAACGCACGACTGCAGCAGAGCCGCGTACTCCTGCACTTGCTGATGCTGCTGATGCTGCTGGAACCCTAATGCTGCTGCTGAGGAAGAAGAAGAAGCTGAAGAAGCTGAAGAAGAGAGCTCAGAATAAAGCTTCTTACCCGGTGTTTGGGCCATACATATCCTGCAATTTCACTTCGGAAAACTGCAAGAGTCTCCAACCGTTTTTACTCCAAGACCTTCAAGTTCTTGTCCAAGCTTGCCCCCTAGTTTTCCCCTGAACGCAAGATCCATACACATATAAACAAAAGAAAAACAAAACCAACATGAGATACATTTTACTTATAGGCAAGGTTGCGAGTAAAGATTCAACGGACTAACGTCTGTTGAGAAGGTTTGTACAACGATTTAAATCACCTTGAGTTGTTCTTGGCTTGCACTCCGGCGTCGCCCTCCAACTCCAACCAACGCATCAATCAGGACCTCCTCGCCAGTAGCTGCTGCTGCTACTACCAAAGAAATCTTAAATCTTCTCAAACGAGACAATGGCCATGGTTGATTCTTCAAAGCACAAACTCCTCCTCCATCTCTCCACAGCCTTGCTCTCTCAATCCCGCGCACACCACTTTGCGCCATAGCAGCAAGCAACTTCCTGCACAAAAGCATACAACGCAAAATACCTCCTTTTGATTGCTTTACAAACGATATCATGGTTTGTACAATATACTATCGAGTTACTCATCGATATAAATATCGTGTCTTGCTTGAACAATCCTCCCAGTACTCTTCTTTCCTCTCGAGCTTTGGGCCTTGCTCGTCTCTCTCGGAGCCTTCGTCCTCATCGCTGGCGGTGGTGGCAATCGTGACTTGGGGTCTTCGTTTTGGTAGAAGGAACTTTCTTTGCTTGCGATGGAGTCTCGGCTGATGATACTGTGGCCTTGCTCCTCTTAAACAAGTTTCCCAGACCAAACTTTGCCTTCACTTCTTCTTCCTCCTCCTGACTCTCTTCTTCTTTCTCGGCAGCCACTGTGCCTCGCTTGAAGAAACCACCCAAGCCATTCTGCGATGTCTCGCTGATGGAAGCTCCAATATCCTTCATCTTTGCCCCCAGAACTTCCAGCGACGCTGCCGCAGCCTTGGCTTTGTCTTTGGCCTTTTGAGGGTTGGCAACCGCCTGTGCTTCCTGTTTAGCCAGCTCCTTTCCCTCTTCCTCCAGCTCGTTGGCGAGAGCAGCGGCATCCTTCGCCTCTTCCAGCGCTTTGTTGGCTTCGGCCTCTGCCTGCTCCCGAAGTTGTCTCTGCCGCTCTTCGGCCTCCGCTTTGGCTCGCGCCTCCGCCAATTTAGCTCGTCTTCCATTCTCTGGTATAGCACGAGATCTTAGTTTCCTGGGAAATATCATCCAAAAGATAGTCCAACACCTGGAGTCCAACACAAGTTAGACATATTTCGAAGAAGAATGTTTGCTCACAGTCCGACAATCTTCATCCTCGTTCACGAGATTCAAAAGCGCATCTCTGCATAACAGGATAAGCATCTTGTAGAGAAACTTACTCTTACCTGAGATAGCATATTCAATACAGCGGTCACTAGGCTCGACAAAGATTGTTCCTGGTTCAAAATGCAATTCATCGTAAAATCTGATTTTTACGGCCTTGGCCAAGTTGGCGCCTGAAAAAGAGAAGAGAAATGTTTTGCACGCATCTATAATGCTAAAGGCACCCGAAACTTTTGCCGTAAAAATAATCTCTGCTGCTTCAAGAAAACTACAAATTTCATTTTTTGCAACATACTTCACTGCCTGAAAATTCCCAATGTCTGTATAAGACACAAAACAGATATCATACCTTCCTTTTTTCCGTTTTATCACCACGATATAACGCCTTAAATACTCTTCTTTCAAACACGGTCCCACTTCTTCCTAAGGATGTCCACAATAAAGCAATCACGTCTTTAACCACCTACAATATGCAATGAAAGTCAGCCAACTAGAAAAGAAAAGCGAGCATGAAACCTTCTTGCAGTAGACTGCTACTCCATGCATATTGAACGGAATCTTTCGACTACGGAAAGCAGATTGAAATATTTTGCCTGTGACCTACAAGAGAAAATGACGAAATCAAATACACACCTGTTGCCTGTAGAGTATAGCAAAGTTTGCAAACACCGGCTTGATGTCACTGGCATTTCCAGGATTTCATCGACCACAAATGTGCACTGTGCTTCTTCATTTCGGCACTCCATAACAACTGTCTGGAGAACCAAAAATATATATGTTCTGAATTCCTGATACCTTTTCTCCAAAATCGTTATCCATTCGCACAACTTTAGCACTGCAGCCTGAATCATTATGTTGAACATCTCACTGCTTCTACAATGCAGCCAGTCGAGCGATAATTTTGTTGTGGTCTCACCTAAGCACGCAGACAACAACTCACATGACTACGTTATTTATTTCAGGTTTTCAGACCTCTTTGTAGTTTGGAACGTCATTCCGGAATGTGGAAAAACCACCATTGAAGCTGAAAACGGACTAGCAAAAGTTAAATATTAGCAGAACGTACCTGGTGATATCCGACCCAACCACAGTGACCCTCCCGTGCAGAGAAAGAAGCCGCAAAAGCTTGTACTGCATCACACTCGTATCTTGGAATTCGTCAACGAGTACATATGCCCAAGTGTTGTGACATTCCGCTAACGCTGTGTGAAAGAAGGATGTTGCAGTACACTGCACGCTTTTACCATTAGGGAACAGCTTACTTCTCCGCATGAGAGCGACAGAGTTGCAAACAAAAGGAATGAAACATCGAGATCATAAGTTCCTTGGACGCCTCCCCCACCACAGCAGCGACGCGGTCCATCATCTCCGTTGCAGCAGCTGTTGTGAAGGTCATTGTTCTTGGAGTCTACCCCCTGTGCCGAACCCTTGAGCTTTGCAACAAAAGAGGGCGAGAGAGAGAGAGGACTGCACTGCACTGCATACCTCGTTTAACAGTGTCAGAATACGTGCGACCATTGTAGAGGTCTGATAAACGAATCGAAGTAGTCAGAAAAACTAGCAATGAAGAAAAAAAAAAAAAAAGTGTGTACCTTTCCACTTCGCGGCCCCGCAACAATCAGAAGTAGCGCTGCATCCCTTCGGGACACATTGAGCTTCCGGAGATACGTTGGCATGTCTGCTGCAGAACCTCCATCGCGTCAAAGCCTATCAATCTCCTCGAAAGCGTCATCATCAAAATCGTCCAAAGAATCGGGACCAACTCCTGCTTCCCCTCCACACACAGCAGCATTCACATCCAGATCCGGCCTCACCCCGCGCACCTTCTTCCTCTCAGATCACTCACCACACTTTTTCGGGCAAAAGCATCAATCGATACCTCTGGTCCAAATGGAGCTTTTCCTCGTAAACTTTGTCATCCTGCCCTAAAGTTTCGAATTTTGGTAGGGTTTTGGTTTCTGTGGAGATGGAGAGGCTGGTAGCCCGGTGTAAGAGCAAGATAAGTGCAGCCGAGAAGAAGCTGTTTGGGCGGAGTAAGAGCAAGAAGAAGGAAGAGCTCCAGGAGCAGCTGGATGACATGCGGAGGAGACTTGAGGTAAGTAAATAGCGTGGATTGGAAATGACATCTTTGGTTAGCAACTTGAGGCTTCACACGAGGAGGATTCGCAGGAGGAGGAGGGTTTGGAGCCGTCCTCAGAGAGGAGGCCTTCATAAGCGCCTCCCTCATGGCGCTTTGAAGCTGCTGCAGTTTGTGGGCACCTGTAGCGATAAAGGGGTCGCTCTTTTCATCGGAACTCCACCTGCGACTCTAGCGTTAAGCCCACAGCCAACGTGCATCGTCGTGGCTTACAAGGAGACCATGGTGTGGAAGGAAGGTGGAGAAGTTACTGTGACGATCAATGGGCAGACTGTGAAAGGTGAGGTTGTTTCCCTGTTTCCCAGGAAGCCTTGGGTGGCTGCTGTTGAGCTCTTCGAACCGGTAAGCTACTGCTTCAATACCCTGATTCATCCTGATCGGGTGTTTTTCTGATTCAGTTGGGACTACCTCCTAAGGTGCCTCTTATGGTTGGTCTGCCTCGAAATGAAGAGGTGGTTTTTGTGCGGCGGGCTGGGGAAGTTGAACTCCCTGCAATCCTCAAGAAGCACTACTTACCAGATGAAGTGGCTGGCATCGTCCCTGGTGTCCAAGTGGGTGATGTTATCGTTGAATGGGATTCAGATTCAAGGAGCCTGAGGGTGAGTGGGATTGTTGTCAAGACGGAGAAAGATGGTGCTGTGGTGGGGCTGCCCGTGGATGACGCCACGCTACACTTTCTTGAGGCGGACAAGAAGAGCTGGTACCGAACAAAATACCCAGGGCGACTCTTGGCGGTGGGGAAGTATGGGTAGTTGGAATGGTATGTGGCTGGTTTACGCTACGATAGCTACTGATAGTTAGTGACGATCTTTTGGTCAGACTGAACAACGACGGATATATATGTAAATTTTGGACTTCTAGATTAATGGAAGAGCTGCTTTTGCTAGGCTCTGCAAATTCGCCATGTGAAATTGAGGCTACGTCTCAACAATACTTTTCATCAGCTTTAATTATTCAGACTTTGAGCTTCTTTTCTATCTGTTACTTGTGGAAAGACTCTCGTATGGTTCATAATCAAGGTTGACCATAACCAGTGAAGTATGTTTTATGTTAAACTAAGTTGTATCGTCGTCGTCCACGAGCCAGCAGCAGCAGTCCGGCGGATGTGGTCCGCGGGGGACGTGGAGGAGCAATGTGAGCTGGAATGCGCATCTTGATGAGGCTTGGCATGATGTTATTTCCTGGAACTCAATCCTCTCAGCAAGTGCCCAAAGCGGGCATCTGGAACATACCAAGCTTCTGTTTGATACAATGCCTGTGCAGGGCTTGGTTGCAGTAACCACCATACTAACAGGTTACGGGCAAAGTGGTCGTGTTACACACTCCAAGAAAATCCTTGATCAAAGCCCAGATAAAGATCCGATTGCCTGGGACGCCATGATTTCGGCTTATGCGCATAATGGGCGTTTTCAAACGCGCTGGATGTGTATGGTGCGATCAAGGTTGAAGAGGAGAGACCGGGCTCCACGTTGGTTCTTCTCGTGTGTGGACGCACTGGATAAGTTTGGGATGGCTTGCGTTGCTTCGCATGGGATCGTTGCAAACAAGCTCCATGGACTGGCGATTGTTTGCTGGGTGCATCGACGAGCTATAGCAATTTGGAACATGGTGCTCACGCAGCTAAGACTCTCTTGGGTGGTGCCGCCCATGACCTCCTTGCGAACATGTATGCGATGAAAGATGGAGCAACCAGGAAAGTATGGTCTTTTCGAAGAGGAGGACAAGGTTGGCTGAGAGTTTGCGATGAGGCGATGGTTGCTCTAGCTCTAAGAACTGGATTGCCCTGCTGCTCGACGATTCGAGGGCGAGATATCGCTCCAACTTGCTGATTCACAGGTATGGGAAGCCTGGAAACTTGGAGCTTGCGTGCAAGGCTTTTGGGGCCATCAAGCATCCCAATGTTTTCTCGTGGAAGCTTTTCATCGCGGCATGCATTTTACCGGACGCAAGAGAGGTGTTTGGAACACAATCCTGCGTGGTCATTTCCAGCTCGCTAACCTTCGCGAAGCTATGGCAGTGATGCCGGAGGAGAGGGGCGTCGTTTCGTGGACTACTGTCCTCTTAGCAAATGCCCAAGCAGGGCATTTTGACGTTTCAATTGCCTTGTTTAATGTGATGCCCGTACGTAGCGTGGCCAGCTGGAATACTCTTTTACAAGCGTACACATTGTTCAAAAAGCTGGCAGAGACTCGCGATTTGTTTTTCTGCGTGCCTTTAATGAGATGTTTCAGCGTGGAAATGCTGTAGCGGGGCATTGTGCCGGGGCTCAAATAAATCCATGCCAGAGATGGACGTGGTTTCTTTAACGTCAATGATGAAAGCATTTGGCGAGGCTGGGGGCTTGCAGGGAGCGCAAAAAGTATGTGATTCCTCTCCCGCGAAGACATCGTGTGCTGGAGCGCCATGGTAACCGCGTGTGCGGAAGATGCTAAGTGCCTGTTTGACCGGATGCCTGAATGGAAAACGGTGGCCTGCTCGGCCTTGATCTCGGCCTACGGCCAACACTTCCATCTCGAGGCAGCCATGCAGGTGTTCTTCGTGGTTTCCTGCAATGCACTCTTGACCGTTTACTCCAAAAGCTGCAGACGCTCGACGCAATAGCCTACCGTAATGTGGGATCCTGGAGCTCGCTGGCCGCAGCTTACGCCGATAACGGGAGTCTCGAAAACTCAGCAAAGGTATTTGCAATGATCCCCGACCCGGATCCCGTGTCCTGGAGCTCCATGATCACAGCCTATGCTCGATCTGTAACCAAGCCACCATACCACCCGACTGATGCAGCTCCAGGGCTTCGCGCTGGACAGCATCACATTCCTGGGCATTCTCAACGCTTGCAAGCAAAGGGGGCTGCTTACTCATAGTGGCGGAGCACGACTATGGAGCGGTCATCGACGCCCTTGCCGGATCGGGGCTCTTGGGCTGCGGCGAGGAGCTCGCCGCCAGCCTGCCGCTGGGATTGGACGCTGCCGGTTGCGCGTCACTGCTGGGAGCTTGCCGGATCCACTGGGACGTGAGCCTTGGAAGGCGGGGTGTGCGAAGGCCTCGCACTCCAATCCATATAGCAGTTGAGAATATTATAATACACCTCCAGCCTCCCAAGAGGGATCTCCGAGCGAGAACTTGGCTAGTGTTGGTGGTGGATGGAGCGTTCGAGTTTGCTTCTTCTTGAGCACCTCCGCCGCAAAAAAATGGTGGATGTCGTCAAGGATTTTAGTCGTCCTCATCGTGTCGTCGTAGTCCCAGGAATCGTACCTGCTGCGGGAGGCGATGATTTCAATCTCTCGCTTGGGCCTGGATTGAGCAAGCGTGGCGAACAAGACGGAAATTCCAGTACTCCGTAAATGGTCCGACTGCTGTGGCTGCCCTTGCTCCTGTGCGCGCTCGTATGACTTAAGGTGTGAGTCGGCGCCCCAGCGGGTATCTGAGGATGCCGGCGTCATGCTCTTGAGTGCACTTTGGCCTCGTCTACGCGACCTTGCTTCATCAAGAAAATGCCCAGGTTACACATCTTCTTGTTGTCCGGTTCCATGGACGGAGCTTTCCTGCCAATGATTCACAGCTTATGATCAATGGATTCGTCGAGCGGGCGATGGGATTGCTTACCCCTGTAGACTGCATCCGCTGCAGTGTAATCGGATTGATGCAGATTCCCATGTGGCTTACTCTCATCCTCCACAAAGGTTGTCAGGCGTATCCACAAGATGCATTACCAGCGTTTGACTTGATCTGCCCAAGTGCAGCTCACGTTCAAGACAGTAGCGGAAAGCAAATCTGTGACTGCATTCTAAAGATGAATATCCCGTCACAATCATTCCCTGATAGAATATTCTAGCTGAGAAAACCCTAGTGGGTCCAAGGGCGGCGTCTTCTCGCTAGGTCACATCTGGTTGCGGTTGCAGCAGGTGGGTTCTGAGTGGAGATGTCAACGGTTTATTTTCAGCAAGCAAGGGATTACATTCTCCGTGGTGGAGATGGATCTTGTGGCATTATTATTAGTCCAGACACTGTAGCCACATACTTGCATGACAATCATACTCAATGGGTCGTAGGGCAGGAAGTGGCATTTTATCAGAGGGATGGCACAAAAATAAAGCTGAAGGTGAGTAACATTCACCCTCCAGGTGACACTATTCTTCTTAAATCTGCCCAGCAAAGGATGAATGCTCCAGACCTTAACACAGATGACGTAGATACCCTTTGTGGTGCAAAATACATGATGATTGGGCTCTCAGGAAAGGATGCCGCTCTTCGTCCACGAGAGGGCATTCTTCAAGGCGCAGCTCGACATGGCCCATATATGATAGGTATAGCTTCTTTGCAAAACCCTTTAATTGTTCACTCCTAATGTCATAACATTTCTAGGCTCGAGTGGGTCAAGCAAAGGTGACTCTGGCGGTGGTGTATTCGACATTAACAATCCCGACATTTTATTAGGAATGAATATTGGACACAGCCCCAACATTGAATATGCTGTTCAAGATTGCTACACACCACCATCGGCATGGATAGTACCAAGTGGTCTACTCAAGCTACTCTCCTGATCACTCTCTTCTGTCATACTTTTATGTTCTACTTACTAGACTGTTTGTTTATTTCTAAGTTTGCTGATTGTAATCTGCATTTACCATCGCTGTTTACCTGACACAAAGAGAAGGAATGTTATAATGAAAGCAAAAGTAAGAGCAAACCTTCCACGCCTTGAAGTTTCCAGGTAAATTTCAGTCTCCTTTTCCTCGGAGACAAGAACGTTCTAGAACATCTCAAGTCAATCTACGAGTTGAAAGAACTTGACCACTGCTGCATAGTGTTTTGATGAAAACTTCGTTTGAAACTTCTTTTGTTCTTCTCCCTGGAAGCGAGTAATATTTCCTGAAGAAAGAAAAATAGTACCTGTATGTTTGTGTCTCCAGCAAGTCCAATGAGTTTGCAAGACCAGCCTAAAGCGCACAAAATCGAAGAATAAGAACTGGGACAAACAATTCGAGAGACAAGAATACCTTGTTAACAGCACCTTTCTTTCCTGGAGTGTTTCCTCCGCTAGATCACTCGACTGCCTTCAGAGTGGCTCCTCCTCCACACCCGAGATTTGGATATCCTCTGAAACCAGCACCACAGGGCCCCAACAAGGGGGCTCCTCCAACTCCATTCCCAGGATTTGCAAACTCTCCACCATCCTTTCCTGGAGGATTCCCTCCACATCCAAGCTCCAGCAAGCCAGGGAGCGCTCCGCCAACGCATGGATCTCACTCCACTCAAGCACCGCCACCTTTCCACGGAACCAAGAAGTCTAGATCACCAAAATAAACGTTGGAGCTTACCTTGTGACCGTTCCTCAATTCCTGGCACGGACCTTCCAGTTAGCGATAAATCCTCCTCTTCCTGTCCAAATGTCCAAAAAGAATGGCGATGCTGCTACTCTCGCCACAACTCCTCGCGGCCAGCGCCGCGAGAGACCTCTACACCGCCGAGCTATCGGCTCCCTCGTCCACGAGGATCGTCCTTGGCCACGCCATCTGCAACACCTGCTGGCAAATCACCGCCAACTCGATGCCTCTTCCCAGTACGTGCCTCTCTAGCAATCCTGAGCTTTGCTCGATCTCCTCTTTTCCTTGTGTGATCTGTGCAGACGGTACCGCAGCTGTCAAGTGCTTCGATGCTGGCGGCCGGATCATCGTCCGAGAGACGAGTAAAACGGGAGCCTTCACGGTGGAGCTCCCGCTCTAGATCGCCGACTCGGTTAGCATGCTCTTGACATGGGGGCCACTCAATCACCTCTGAAAGCTGGTTGCAGGATGGACGGCAAGTGTATGGAGTCGGGCCATCCATGTTTTGTCACCGAGCGAAGCTCCTGCATTGCAGTGGCAATCACTGGCAGACACAATCCTCAATCTCTTCGCCTCCGTTGTCAGTTTGCCAGTCACCTTCCTCGACTGCTATGCTCTTTCCGAACCATCGTCTGCATGGAGCGCTTCCAACACTGGAAACGGTGGTCTCCAGGTCAACCTCTCCTGCAGCAACCTTTTCCCGTCCACTCCATCCTCTTCGTCATCTCCATCTCCGGGACTTCCGACCTTCCCATTTCCACTGTTTCCGCTCCAGACTGTTCCAACGAGCACTCCCTTCACCGTTCCTTTCCCAAGCGTTCCCAGCATTCCTTTCCCAAGCGTTCCCATTCCTACGAGCATTCCTTTCCCAAGCGTTCCCATTCCTACGAGCATTCCTTTCCCGAAGATCCCCCCCAATAACCATCGGTCTGACCACTCCACAAACACCAGCTGCTTCCCTGGCTCTCCTGTATCATTTTCTCCACCAAGTCCTGCTCCCTATCCTACACTGTCCCCAGCCTTGATGTTGTGAGCTGCAGTTTTGTATAGAAAAGTTAGTGACTGATCGGAATTGTCCAATACTTACAGGACCTGTTTTTCAGCAAACCCCTTTCCCTGATCGATGATCACAAAGCCTTGTGCTGCTCGATCACCTTGGAGGCATGAAGACGTGAAGATGGATTCACAGTGCAACCGAAGCGCCGAAGAAACGCAATCTACAATCAGAGTTTTAGAGGGTCTATTGTCGGTGCATATCCACAACCTGTTTTGCCGTTGCAGGAACGGAGCCCATTGTACGCTCAGAACATTTTTGCTGGCAGTACTCCTGGAGAGGCGAGTAAAATAAAATAATGTGAGAACAAACCTGTCGTTCTGCAGGAAGTTTTTCCCACTTGACACTCTTATACAAATACAAATAGAAATATATGTATTTCCGGCCAGTAAAACTTACCTGGTCGGCGTACGCTAATGCTGCAATGAACGTTTCAACGCGTGCACTGTATCCTGTGTAACTTACGAAATAAAAGGTGATAAAGCGTATTTCTATGAATATAAAGACCTTGTTCTTCGCAGCCGCTCGTCTATAGCCAAACCAACCTACAATTAAAATGACCACCATCACAAAAGCCTGGTCTTACTTTCATGAGCAGACGTTTTGGATCCTGAAAAGCAGACTTACCTCCAAAGATGAAGACTCGTGAAGCAGTGGCGTTTCCAATTCGTTGGCCTAGAAAGATGAAATCAAAGCTAGCAAGAAGAGGGCAATCTTACCTTCACAATGAACACCCTGTCCCACTCCAGTCCCTTCGACTGCAAAACAAAGAGAAAATGGTAATAGAAACATAGAAAGACGATAAGCTCGCACCTGATGCATTGTTGTCATCGTCACTGAATTATGATTTTCTTCTTGGCAAGTTCGAAAGTTCTCGGTCTCTCCAACAATTATATGGTCCAGAAAAGCTTTAAGAAGCACTGAGCATCCCAGCTGCCGAGAATTTGGTTTCACTTCCTCTTGAAGCCCAAGGTTCTTAGAGCTTTTCGACGTCTTTTTTGGAGGACATAGCTGCAAGCAGCCGCTGTCGAGGGTCCAAGGTCTTTTGCAGGACAAAAGTTGGCCCCTGGCATCAATGTGATAGTGATATACTGTCTAGTTTTGCCTCTTGAGATTCGAACATTTCCAGAGGGAGAGAGATAAGTTGTGTCGAGCCATCCTTTGGCCTCGTCGCCCGCTATGGAACTTTGAATGGAAGGAACGAGAAAGAGAATGCGGCCCGGTCGAAACGAAAGCTGATCCTTTTAGAGCTAGTAACTGAGGCTTCGTCCTGGAAGATTTCTCCAAAGTTAAAGAAACAGGCAAACTATGTTTGCTTACCTCCACTTTGAGCTCACCAATTTTCTCGGAAAACTTTACAATGTTTGACACCCTCTGGTCGCTGCGATCGCTGAGTTTGATGTCCTGGAAAACTCCCTACAAAAAAGTCAAGGCGGTGAATAAATGAATGAATGTTTGTAGTAGAAGTTTTAACTTGAATCGGGCATGCAGTGCTGGGCCTTGTTGTGTACATTAATTAATCTCCATATGCCTTCGATCAACTCCGACGAGCATCATCTTTGCCCCCAGAGCTTCCAGCGACGCTGCCGCGGCCTTGGCTTTGTCTTTGGCCTTTTGAGCGTTGGCAACCGCCTGTGCTTCCTGTCTAGCCAGCTCCTTTCCCTCTTCCTCCAGCTCGTTGACGAGAGCAGCGGCATCCTTCGCCTCTTCCAGCGCTTTCTTGGCTTCGGCCTCTGCCTGCTCCCGGAAGTTGTCTCTGCCGCTCTTCGGCCTCCGCTTTGGCTCGCGCCTCCGAACAATGCAGCTCGTCTTCCATCCTCTGGTATAGCACGAGATCTTAGTTTCCTGGGAAATATCATCCAAAAGATAGTCCAACACCTGGAGTCCAACACAAGTTAGACATATTTCAAAGAAGAATGTTTGCTCACAGTCCGACAATCTTCATCCTCGTTCACGAGATTCAAAAGCGCATCTCTGCATTAACAGGATAAGCATCTTGTAGAGAAACTTACTCTTACCTGAGATAGAATATTCAATACAGCGGTCACTAGGCTCGACAAAGATTGTTCCTGGTTCAAAATGCAATTCATCGTAAAATCTGATTTTTACGGCCTTGGCCAAGTTGGCGCCTGAAAAAGAGAAGAGAAATGTTTGCACGCATTTATAATGCTAAAGGCACCCGAAACTTTTGCCATAAAAATAATCTCTGCTGCTTCAAGAAAACTACAATTTTCATTTTTTGCAACGTACTTCACTGCCTGAAAATTCCCAATGTCTGTATAAGACACAAAACAGATATCATACCTTCCTTTTGTCCGTTTTATCACCACCATATAACGCCTACTCTTCTTTCAAACACGGTCCCACTTCTTCCTAAGGATGTCCACAATAAAGCAATCACGTCTTTAACCACCTACAATATGCAATGAAAGTCAGCCAACTAGGAAAGAAAAGCGAGCATGAAACCTTCTTGCAGTAGACTGCTACTCCATGCATATTGAACGGAATCTTTCGACTACGGAAAGCAGATTGAAATATTTTGCCTGTGACCTACAAGAGAAAATGACGAAATCAAATACACACCTGTTGCCTGTAGAGTATAGCAAAGTTTGCAAACACCGGCTTGATGTCACTGGCCACTGATGCCTTTTCCAGGATTTCATCGACCACAAATGCGCACTGTGCTTCTTCATTTCGGCACTCCATAACAACTGTCTGGAGAACCAAAAATAGTCGGCAAAATATGTTCTGAATTCCTGATACCTTTTCTCCAAAATCGTCATCCATTCGCACAACTTTAGCACTGCAGCCTGAATCATTATGTTGAATGACACATCTCGCTGCTTCTACAATGCAGCCAGTCGAGCGATAATTTTGGTGTGGTCTCACCTAAGCACGCAGACAACAACTCACATGACTACGTTATTTATTTCAGGTTTTCAGACCTCTTTGTAGTTTGGAACGTCATTCCGGAATGTGGAAAAACCGAGAGAGTTGGCACCATTGAAGCTGAAAACGGACTTAGCAAAAGTAAATATTAGCAGAACGTACCTGATGATATCCGACCCAACCACAGTGACCCTCCCGTGCAGAGAAAGAAGCTTGTACTGCATCACACTCGTATCTTGGAATTCGTCAACGAGTACATATGCCCAAGTGTTGTGACATTCCGCTAACGCTGTGTGAAAGAAGGGTGTTGCAGTACACTGCACGCTTTTACCATCAGGGAACAGCTTACTTCTCCGCATGAGAGCGACAGAGTTGCAAACAAAAGGAATGAAACGTCGAGATCATAAGTTCCTTGGACGCCTCCTTCCCCACCACAGCAGCGACGTGGTCCATCACCTCCGTTGCAGCAGCTGTTGTGAAGGTCATTGTTCTTGGAGTCTACCCCCTGTGCCGAACCCTTGAGCTTTGCAACAAAAGAGAGCGAGAGAGAGAGAGAGAGAGCACTGCCCTGCACTGCATACCTCGTTTAACAGTGTCAGAATACGTGCGACCATTGTAGAGATCTGATAAACGAATCGTAGTCAGAAAAGAATAGCAATGAAAAAAGAAAAAAAGAAAAAGTGTGTACCTTTCCACTTCCCGGCCCCGCAACAATCAGAAGTAGCGCTGCATCCCTTTGGGACACATTGAGCTTCCGGAGACACGTTGGCATGTCTGCTGCAGAACCTCCATCGCGTCAAAGCCTATCAATCTCCTCGAAAGCGTCATCATCAAAATCGTCTGCTTCCCCTCCACACACAGCAGCATTCACATCCAGATCCGGCCTCACCCCGCGCACCTTAGATCACTCACCACACTTTTTCGGGCAAAAGCATCAATCGATACCTCTGGTCCAAATGCGCGCCGGCGCCGGCGGATTTCCGAGGCAGCCGCGCCTTGGCAGCGCGATGGCTGGCCCGCTGCTCCTCGCTGAGATGCTCCGACTCGAGCTTTTTCCTTTTAAACTTAGTCATTCTGCCCTAAAGTTTCGAGTTTTGGTAGGGTTTGGCTCTCTGTGGAGATGGAGAGCCTGGTGGCGCGGTGTAAGAGCAAAGCCGAGAAGAAGCTGTTTGGGCGGAGCAAGGGCAAGAAGAAGAAGGAAGAGCTCCAGGAGCAGCTGGATGACATGCGGAAGAAATTTGAGGTAAGTAAATAGCTTGGATTGGAATGACAGCTTTGCTTCCTTCTATAGCGAATGGAGGCGCTTATGAAGGCCTCCGGTTCTTCCTCCTCTGTGACGACGGCTGCGAACCCTCCTCCTCGTGTGAAGCCTCCTCCTGGCGCTTTGAAGCTGCTGCAGTTTGTGGGCACCTGTAGCGATAAAGGGGTCGCTCTTTTCATCGGAACTCCACCTGCGACTCTAGCGTTAAGCCCACAGCCAACGTGCATCGTCGTGGCTTACAAGGAGACCATGGTGTGGAAGGAAGGTGGAGAAGTTACTGTGACGATCAATGGGCAGACTGTGAAAGGTGAGGTTGTTTCCCTGTTTCCCAGGAAGCCTTGGGTGGCTGCTGTTGAGCTCTTCGAACCGGTAAGCTACTGCTTCAATACCCTGATTCATCCTGATCGGGTGTTTTTCTGATTCAGTTGGGACTACCTCCTAAGGTGCCTCTTATGGTTGGTCTGCCTCGAAATGAAGAGGTGGTTTTTGTGCGGCGGGCTGGGGAAGTTGAACTCCCTGCAATCCTCAAGAAGCACTACTTACCAGATGAAGTGGCTGGCATCGTCCCTGGTGTCCAAGTGGGTGATGTTATCGTTGAATGGGATTCAGATTCAAGGAGCCTGAGGGTGAGTGGGATTGTTGTCAAGACGGAGAAAGATGGTGCTGTGGTGGGGCTGCCCGTGGATGACGCCACGCTACACTTTCTTGAGGCGGACAAGAAGAGCTGGTACCGAACAAAATACCCAGGGCGACTCTTGGCGGTGGGGAAGTATGGGTAGTTGGAATGGTATGTGGCTGGTTTACGCTACGATAGCTACTGATAGTTAGTGACGATCTTTTGGTCAGACTGAACAACGACGGATATATATGTAAATTTTGGACTTCTAGATTAATGGAAGAGCTGCTTTTGCTAGGCTCTGCAAATTCGCCATGTGAAATTGAGGCTACGTCTCAACAATACTTTTCATCAGCTTTAATTATTCAGACTTTGAGCTTCTTTTCTATCTGTTACTTGTGGAAAGACTCTCGTATGGTTCATAATCAAGGTTGACCATAACCAGTGAAGTATGTTTTATGTTAAACTAAGTTGTATCGTCGTCGTCCACGAGCCAGCAGCAGCAGTCCGGCGGATGTGGTCCGCGGGGGACGTGGAGGAGCAATGTGAGCTGGAATGCGCATCTTGATGGGGCTTGGCATGATGTTATTTCCTGGAACTCAATCCTCTCAGCAAGTGCCCAAAGCGGGCATCTGGAACATACCAAGCTTCTGTTTGATACAATGCCTGTGCAGGGCTTGGTTGCAGTAACCACCATACTAACAGGTTACGGGCGAAGTGGTCGTGTTACACACTCCAAGAAAATCCTTGATCAAAGCCCAGATAAAGATCCGATTGCCTGGGACGCCATGATTTCGGCTTATGCGCATAATGGGCGTTTTCAAACGCGCTGGATGTGTATGGTGCGATCAAGGTTGAAGAGGAGAGACCGGGCTCCACGTTGGTTCTTCTCGTGTGTGGACGCACTGGATAAGTTTGGGATGGCTTGCGTTGCTTCGCATGGGATCGTTGCAAACAAGCTCCATGGACTGGCGATTGTTTGCTGGGTGCATCGACGAGCTATAGCAATTTGGAACATGGTGCTCACGCAGCTAAGACTCTCTTGGGTGGTGCCGCCCATGACCTCCTTGCGAACATGTATGCGATGAACGATGGAGCAACCAGGAAAGTATGGTCTTTTCGAAGAGGAGGACAAGGTTGGCTGAGAGTTTGCGATGAGGCGATGGTTGCTCTAGCTCTAAGAACTGGATTGCCCTGCTGCTCGACGATTCGAGGGCGAGATATCGCTCCAACTTGCTGATTCACAGGTATGGGAAGCCTGGAAACTTGGAGCTTGCGTGCAAGGCTTTTGGGGCCATCAAGCATCCCAATGTTTTCTCGTGGAAGCTTTTCATCGCGGCGTGCGTTTTACCGGACGCAAGAGAGGTGTTTGGAACACAATCCTGCGTGGGCATTTCCAGCTCGCTAACCCTCGCGAAGCTATGGCAGTGATGCCGGAGGAGAGGGGCGTCGTTTCGTGGACTACTGTCCTCTTAGCAAATGCCCAAGCAGGGCATTTTGACGTTTCAATTGCCTTGTTTAATGTGATGCCCGTACGTAGCGTGGCCAGCTGGAATACTCTTTTACAAGCGTACACATTGTTCAAAAAGCTGGCAGAGACTCGCGATTTGTTTTTCTGCATGCCATTACGGAGATGTTTCAGCGTGGAACACAATGATAGCTGGAAATGCTGTAGCGGGGCATTGTGCCGGGGCTCAAATAAATCCATGCCAGAGATGGACGTGGTTTCTTTAACGTCAATGATGAAAGCATTTGGCGAGGCTGGGGGCTTGCAGGGAGCGCAAAAAGTATGTGATTCCTCTCCCGCGAAGACATCGTGTGCTGGAGCGCCATGGTAACCGCGTGTGCGGAAGATGCTAAGTGCCTGTTTGACCGGATGCCTGAATGGAAAACGGTGGCCTGCTCGGCCTTGATCTCGGCCTACGGCCAACACTTCCATCTCGAGGCAGCCATGCAGGTGTTCTTCGTGGTTTCCTGCAATGCACTCTTGACCGTTTACTCCAAAAGCTGCAGACGCTCGACGCAATAGCCTACCGTAATGTGGGATCCTGGAGCTCGCTGGCCGCAGCTTACGCCGATAACGGGAGTCTCGAAAACTCAGCAAAGGTATTTGCAATGATCCCCGACCCGGATCCCGTGTCCTGGAGCTCCATGATCACAGCCTATGCTCGATCTGTAACCAAGCCACCATACCACCCGACTGATGCAGCTCCAGGGCTTCGCGCTGGACAGCATCACATTCCTGGGCATTCTCAACGCTTGCAAGCAAAGGGGGCTGCTTACTCATAGTGGCGGAGCACGACTATGGAGCGGTCATCGACGCCCTTGCCGGATCGGGGCTCTTGGGCTGCGGCGAGGAGCTCGCCGCCAGCCTGCCGCTGGGATTGGACGTTAAGAAGCACTGAGCATCCCAGCTGCCGAGAATTTGGTTTCACTTCCTCTTGAAGCCTAAGGTTCTTAGAGCTTTTCGACGTCTTTTTTGGAGGACATAGCTGCAAGCAGCCGCTGTCGGGGGTCCAAGGTCTTTTGCAGGACAAAAGTTGGCCCCTGGCATCAATGAGATAGTGATATACTGTCTAGTTGTGTACTTTTTTGCCTCTTGAGATTCGAACATTTCCAGAGGGAGAGAGATAAGTTGTGTCGAGCCATCCTTTGGCCTCGTCGCCCGGTATGGAACTTTGAATGGAAGGAACGAGAAAGAGAATGCGGCCCGGTCGAAACGAAAGCTGATCCTTTTAGAGCTAGTAACTGAGGCTTCGTCCTGGAAGATTTCTCTAAAGTTAAAGAAACAAGCAAACTATGTTTGCTTACCTCCACTTTGGCCTCGTCGCCCGGTATGGAACTTTGAATGGAAGGAACGACAAAGAGAATGCGGCCCGGTCGAAACGAAAGCTGATCCTTTTAGAGCTGAGGCTTCGTCCTGGAAGATTTCTCCAAAGTTAAAGAAACAAGCAAACTATGTTTGCTTAATTTTCTCGGAAAACTTTACAATGTTTGACACCCTCTGGTCGCTGCGATCGCTGAGTTTGATGTCCTGGAAAACTCCCACAAAAGTCCTCTACAAAAAAGTCAAGGCGGTGAATAAAATGAATGAATGTTTGTAGTAGAAGTTTTAACTTGAATCGGGCATGCAGTGCTGGGCCTTGTTGTGTACATTAATTAATCTCCATACGCCTTCGATCAACTCCGACTTTGTCTGCACAAATCGAATCATAAAAATCTCACTCTTTTATTCGAATCACTCACAGGTTCTTCAATGCCTCCATGCGCAATTTCCTCAATATATTTCAAATATAGGAAATGACTTTTTGTAGCATTCCACTGGAGTGTTTCGCAAGAATGTGTTAGTCTCAAACGTTAAAGATACTTTGTTGTGTGATACACCGGCTGAACAAGTGAATTAGAAAGGCCAAACGAATGTCCGGAACGATAATTGTCGCTAGCAAACGATCTTCGCGGCTTCCATCAGGCCTAAGCTCCTATAGCGGCCAAGTCATAAACCAAGACAGGACCTGGGGAAGTCCCAACAATATGGGACTTCGATGCTTCCTCGCTCACGAGCGTCGACAAATCGTCTCTCGGCAGCCTCGGTAATGTCAAGGACTTCGTAGCAACCACCTGGAAATGGAAGAACCGTCGAATTCTTGCACTTCCTCTCGGATTTACTTCGTCTCGATAGATTGAGCATCAGGGCTCTCGATTCCCACACCTTGGATGTAGAAGCAGTCGAGATCGACGTGCGCGGCGCCTCGCCAGTGGCATCGCTCGCCATAGCCTAGAAATTCTTCCACACGGTTCTTCCTGCTGCTGCTTCTTCTTTTTCTTGATCTTCATGTGTTCCCTAGAACAGGAGCATCGGCACCACTCCTCCGTCCTGTATGGTGCCATTGCCTTCAATGACACGTACTGTTTGAGCTCCTTCTCGTCCGCATCCAATATCTGCAAACACTTCAACCGCGTTGGCACCTCTTTACTATTCGTCGTCACTCTTCTCTATCCCCAGAACGTCGTCATCCTAATCCAGCCTGCTGCTTCACTGTCACCAGACTGAATTCTGAATCCTCTTCGTTGTAGTAGTCCTTACCGAAGAGCTCCTATCGTGCTCGTCGGAATCGAAGTCATCCTCTAGATCACCCTCGTCAACAGTTTGGATCTTCGACAACTCCACTCACATCCCCGTAAGACCCTGGTTCTGGAGATAGGCTTATCATTCTCGCCCGGATCAGAGTACTCCTCGAACCTTTGAGAAACAGGTGCTTTCTTCCTCAGGTTCTCTCCTCTTCCTCACGCCTCGGTTCCTCGTTGCTCTTCTTCGAAGAGCCGTCATCGTCGTCCTCGACCGCAGCAGCAAAGCGCATCAAAGTTTCCACTGTTCTTGAGCCTAAGTCTCGCTGGTCTTGATCGCTCCTCAGAGTTTTCCAGAGCTTGTTTGGCCACAAGGACATTGGTTTTTTCCATTCACCCGAAGCATTCCCTTCCTCGTCGTTCGTCTTCATGACACTTCACCTCTGGCTTGTAAATGCTGGGTCCTGCTTCTTAGCGTGTCTAAAATTCGTACCTCGGTCCTCCATCGAATCCGTGTCCACAATCCCGCGCTTTCGAAACTCTTGATTTTCCCTAAATTTCCACAAGCCCTTCTTCGGTGTCATGGAATCTACAACCGGGAAAATATCGATCGCGTCGCAGATCCTCTGTCTACTGGCATTGATCGACACAAAGACCGGGCAATTATTCTTGGAAGGAGATGGTGGATTCCTCAAAGCCAGTCCCGCGTTGACCGTGGCAGAATTCCCCGGCGATGGCATCTCTGGAGCTGCTCTCTGATAACTTACAAGCACGAATCCACAGCGTACCCGGTGATCATCGTGGGGGGTGAGCAAACAGGAGCTTCGCGCGATCCAGCTCCATCGCTAGTCAAAGAGTTTTCGCGCCTGAACCAGCGTGAAAACCCTAGCCGTGGCGAATCGACGGCTAGTTTTAAAACGTCGGACCTAACGGTGGTGATTGATCTTGATGCGAGGGTTCTCAAATTCACGAATGGCGATGGCGAGCGATGGCAGAGCGCTTCTCCGCGTGCTTGGCAGGATTTTCAGACATCCAGCGGTTCTATCCCGTGGAATCGGTAAGATCGCAAGAATGCCCGATCTGGCTGTCAAACCTCAGGATTATGATGTCGATGCATGGAGTGATGCTCCCTACCTCGAATTCATTGTGGGGTTGGAGCAGCAGGGATCCACTCCAGCCACCTCCACCGGTGGATCCACACTTGCTGGATTCCGGGGTAACAAGAGGCCATATCCAGGCCGTGCCGCGCAGATCGTCCGGATCCAAATAGAAAATGGGAAAGATATTCAGACCGTCCTCGCCAAGCATAAGAATGTGAGAGACTTTGGGGCCTTCTGGATGCCACTGGTGCGCGATCTAATGGCCGGTCCAGTGCACCACCATACACTCGAGTTAAAACAATTCTTCTCAAGTTTTTAATCTTTGTTCTCCATTCTAATAAATTCGTTCCTAGATCTTCACCTGGATGAACTAGCCAATCAGGCTGTTCTAAAGTCCGCGACGGTGATGGAGCTCGACTGGCTCTACGTGATGATGATCTCCTATGCCGGCGTGGTCGCCCACACAATCCTGGCATGGAGATGGTTTGGCAACGTGATGATCGAAGGGAAGAAATTAAGTGAGTGTTGCAATGCTCTCATCATTGCATATGCCAAGCCAGGGACCTCGACAGTACCATGCAAATCTTCCACGGTATGAAGGAGTTCTCCTGCAAGTGCCCGCCAAATGCCATGACGTAACACATCCTCACCGCCATGTTTGCGCACTACCACAACTGGCAGGGCCTCGAGGTCATGTGCCAGGACGCTGGGGTCTTGCCGGGCACAATAACTTTCAACATGCTCTTGCACGCCTACGTGAAAATGGGACACAGGGACTGGTTCGAGAGCACGTACCAGGAGATGGAGCAGGTTTGCAGAGGTTTCAAGCACAGCTCGGAGACTTTTGCAATGCTGCTCATCGGCTATGCTCGCCTGGATGCGCTGGACAGGTTCCACCAGGTTCTCAGCGAGATGCAAGCGGAGAACTCCCAGCTGCCACACAACATCACAGTTCCGGCGGTTGAGGAGGCCGTTAAGGCCTTGGGTGGCCACCTAGAATAAATCTTTGGATATAAAAAAAAATCAAAAAATCTTATCTACCTATACTATAAAAAATAACAAATCCTAAAGGTATAAATACATATATATTAAAAGATCCAAGCATCCTATTACTGTTTTTTATACTTTGAACACCTCACCAATTGTACGTTGTGGTACTAAAATTGAAAACATTATAAAATAAAAAACTTAAACATTTTAAAACTTATATAAATATATTTACCATTTTCAGTGACTAGTTGTGGTGTATACTTATTACCTGAGTATACTTATGTATACTCAAGTAAAATTATTTTACTTTTTCTTCATCACCTTGATCCAGCAAATCTTGGTTGATGGTTGAAAAATTATATTAACCAAGCTGATTCCAAAATGATTGACTTGTGTTCACCCAATCATGAGTTCACACTAAAGAATCCTTCTTCCTTTTGTACCAGTGAAGATTCACCCTAACTTGGTAGGATGGTATGTCATCCAAGTCAATGATTTCTAATGTCTCTCGCCAGCTATTTCCTATTTTCTTTGTCATTTTCTGCACCTGGCCAATATACCATGTTGACTCAAAAAGAACAGCTATATCTGCTCCATATCCAAGACTTGTTATTGTTCTAGCTTGTGTATCATAAACTCTTGCTTTTACTTGTGCCAGTCTATCTTTCAATAAGAAAGAACTCCCATTCAAATATGCAACAAGAGTGCTTTTAACAATCTTTTTGGAGTCAACTTCCAGAAATGGCTTGAACTTTTCCTACTATGGCATCTATGGTTGAGGCAATGTTTCTTCTTCATCAATTATACTATCACAAGTATGCTATAGTGCTTCTACTGCCTTTTCGTGAAAAGAATCCTCATATTTCCAAGGTTCGCTCTACTTGGAATCTGGTAGAGATATATCTAAAGAACAGAGTAAACCTTTTGCCTCAAAGCAAGCCAACTTGAATAATTTCCAAATCTATTTCTATACCTAAGAAAGAGAGTAAGATTAAAGAATATTTAATAAAGATATATTTTTATAATCAGTCAGCTTCAATGCAACTGTTCCTCTATATTTCTTCTCAAAGTCTTTCCCATATAGATTCTTGTTTATTATGTAAAGCTAGAAACTTTAAAATTGATATAGCCTTCATCTCAGAAATCCAATTTATGGAATCATCACTATCCAGCAAATCAAATGAGTCATATGTTCACTCATTTCTCACCATACCATCGATCTTGCTGAAAAATGATTCACAACAGTCTAATCTTGTCTCATCTAGAGGAATGGGGTGTTCTCAATACTTATCTCTAAATAACTTGATAAGGAAAACACTGTAGTAGCAACTAATTTGAATATCCAAAAAAGTCTCATTTGAAATGAAATTGTCCTTTAGATTGTAAATTTTGCCTTGCAATATCCAAAATCACCACAGCCTATACACAAAAAAGAACTGAAATTAGTCTCAAGTATAAGTAAAGCAAACTTGAAGAAAAAAGATGTTTTTGCAGTAGCTTTGATATAGCCTTTTAAATTTATAGTTGGAGACAAGAAGATGTCAATGTAATCTGCCACAATACTTAAGTATGTTTCAGTTCCTTCACTAGGTTCATTTGGTTGCAATCCATCACCCTATAGCATGCATATGCAAGCTTGAACTTTCTTGGATGCTAGTCTTTATGCAACAGCTTAATTTTGACAATCCTACCTATCCACATCACTTTAATTCAAGCCATGTTCATGTCTTGGAAGAGGAACAAAGACCTCTCTAATGTGATTCAGTGTTGCTAAGAACTTCCCAAGATAAAATTTCTTGAAGAATCTAGTGGATTGACAAATTTTTTGCCATTGTCAATGAAGTTTTGATCATGTAGTTCATAAATAGACCCATCCTCTTTCTATGATGCTGTAAACACCCAGCCATCTCAATCAATTCTAAAATGATCACCATCTTTAGTTATGTAGTCTTGTAGCATTAGTTTTCAATGCCTTGAATCACCATCAA